GCGGGTCACAGATACTAGTGTAACAGTTTGGGGCCAGTGTAGGTTCAGGGCGGGAAGACGGGAAATCCCATCTCAAATCCTTCAGGAGAAGCTTCCCAGCAGGGGCGGCAACACTCTGGATGCAGAAGCCTGGTTGGAGGTCTGGCCGCAAATGGATGCTACTTGGTAGCCATCCGCCTAGAGGCAGGGGACACTAGTACCATGAAGCCAGTGCCCTCTCATTCTTCACTTGGAGACCTAGTGTCCACCCATCAACCTCAGTGACTCCTCCCCCCATCCCAGGACCACTGGGCTCAGTCCTCAACCCAGACCCAGTTCAGCCACTCTGGGCAAGTTACTTGGCAGAGCCTCAGTTCCCATCTTTCAATGTGGGGACAGATGGACCTACCTTTCAAGGCTAGGAAGTTCAGAAAGAATCTCAGCTCTAGACACAAAAAGTACCTTGTTCCCAAACTAATCAGCTGGGGTTTGAGAAGCCAGGACTTTGGTGCCCCTCAAGCCAAGGTTTGGATCCCGGCCCAGATACATTATGCCTGTGTAATCTTGGGCAGGTATCTGGCCTCTCTCTGTGTCTATCTGGCTGTCCTTAAAATGGGGATGACAACAGTGCCCGTCATCCAAGATTGTTGGATGCATTGATCAGGAAGAATGTGCCTGTCTGCAGGAGGACAGTTCTTCCTGCTGCTGGGAGAATTGTCTCCTGCTCAGACCCAGAGCCCCCCCGGGAGTGAGATATTAGGCTAGAGAGGCAGGAGAGCTGCCCCAGTGAAGGGTTGTGCAGTGGCTGCCCATGGTGCCTTCCTTACCACCCTCTACCATCTATGAGCAGGTGGGTAGGGTGTGTGGGGCCACAGGGGTCAGAGAACAGACCTGCTGTGGAGTCTGAGAGAGGTCTCCCAGTCTGACAGCTGAGGCAGGTAGAAATAGACTCTTGGCCTCCCAGGCTGAGCAGGGGCTTCTGTTTGATAACTAGGGGACAATTGGTCTCTGCAATGTGTTCTGAGCCGCCTCTGACCCACAGCAATTACCCCCACCCCACCCACTCTCAACACCCAGGGCTGCCATGCTGGAGGGTCCCTTTCTCCTGAGCTAGTCGCAGTGCTCAGGTTCAAGGATCACCCCCAACCTCTAAGCTCAGTGTGGCACAGCTCAGTGAGCCGGGAAAGATGGAGGACAGATATGGCAAGCATTTATCTAGCGCTTGCTCTGTGCCAGGCTCTATTCTAAGCACTTTACCTGGAGTGGCCCATTCTCGTACCATAACCTACAAGGTAGGTGCTGTTACCTCCAATTTACAGATGAGAAAACGGTGGCACTGAGGAGTAACTTGCAGCCCTATACCATGTAGTGTCTGTCTGTCAGGGAGGAACTGCTGGTCACAAGAATGGCTGGTGGAGGGTCCAACAGGGCAGTCTCACCTCCTATCCATGTCTGGGGTGGGGGAAGGGCCACACACACACACAACACACACACTGCAAGCAGAAACCTAATAAATGTATAGGAGGGAGTTTCCCTAGCCAAAAGAATCCCCGCCCCTAGGAGGTTTGCTGGTGTAGTCCAAACTAGACTCCTCCTCCCCCTGGGCCCAGAGGTCTGGGGCAGGCCTGGGGAAGGGAGGGCTACAAAGATGAAAGAAACATATCCTTCAGGAAGTGAGGCCACAGACAAAGCAGCTGAACTCCATACGAGACAAGCTGGGGGTGCCTGTGGCTGGCTGGAGCAGCTTTGGGTCTCCCTGTCCTGAGTGTGGGGGTCTTGAGTAAGGCATGGGGTCCCTGGGGATGATGTAGCTGTGTCTAGTACAGGAGAAAGGTGGCAAATGAGAGGAGCCTCTCAAAGGGGAAGGGCCAGGCCTGGGCATAGCAAACAGTTGGCCTAGCGTTAGTGGTGGTGTTTCCAGACTGTGGGCAGAGGGGCCTGGAGCCAGAGGGATAGACTAAGGCTCCACCCAGGAAGGCTTCTGAGGGCTTAGGGGCTGGGAAGACTTAGGGAGGGACTCACTGTCCAGTCCTCTGGCAGGATGGGACATACCCCCATGCCTGCCTCCCACCCAGTATCCTATGTCCCTGGTTCAATTCAAAGGCTATATAGCCAGCTCCTCCTAAGAGTCAAAGTCTGGTCTCTGGACTGTCTCCAGATTCATGCTGCCTGAGCCAGGGTGTGATAGGACCGCTACCCCAGGGCACCCACTGTGTGCCAATCTGGGCCCAGAACATGATTTTTTTTTAATTGTTGTAAAAAATACATACAACATTTGCCAATTTAACATTTTTCACATGTACCATTTTATGACATCAGTTACATCAATCATATTGTATAACCATCATCAATAGCCATGACCAAATTTCCATAAACAGAAACTCACTGGTTTCTAAACAGTAACTCCCTCCTGCCCTGATCACCACTATTAAACTCTGCTCGCTAGGCATTTGCCTATTCTATCCATTACGTATAAGTGGGATCATACAATATTTGTCCTTTAGTGATTGACTTTACTCAGCGTAATTTAAAAAAAAAAAAAAAAGCTTTATTGCACCAAAATTTATATACAATAAAAATACATCTATTTCAAGTGCCCACTTCAATCCATTTTGACAAATGTATACATCCATGTGACCACCACCACAATCAAGATATAGAAGGTTCATATCACCTGAAAAAGTTCCTTTATGCCCCTTTACAGTCAATTCCCAACTCCTGTCCTAACACCAGGGAACCCCTGATCTGCTTTCTGCCCCATAGATTAGTTTTGCTTTTACTAGAATTTCATAGGGAGCTCTGATGGCACAGTGCCTAAGGTATTTGACTGCTAACCGGAAGGATGGCAGTTCAAACCCACCAGCCACTCCTCAGAAGGAAGACTGGGCAATCTACTTCCGTAGATACACTACCTCAGAAACCCAGGGAAGGGTTGCTGTGAGTTGGATTGGACTTGATGGCAGTGAGTTTGATTGTTTTAGAGCATTTCATATAATAGAATCATACAATATGTACTGTATGTGTCTGGCTTCTTTTGCTTAGCAAATTTTTTTGAGATTTGCCCATGTTGTTGTGGGTATTAGAGTTTGCTCTTTTTTTATCAGCATAATGTTTTCAAAGTTCATCAATGTCATAGCATGTATCAGGACTTCATTTCTCATGTCTGAGTAGTACTCCATTGTAAAGATAGACCACATTGTGTTATCCATTTCTCTATTGATGGATACTTAGGTTATCCCCACTTTTGGCTATTGTGAAGAATGCTGCAATGGAGATTAGTGTACAAATATCTGTGTGAGTCTCTGCTTTCAAGTCTCCTGGGTATGTACCCAAGGAGCTTTGGTGGCACAGTGCCTAAGGTATTTGACTGCTAGCCAGAGGGTTGGTTGTTCAATCCCACTGCCACTTCATGGAAGGAAGTCTGGGCAATCTATTTCCATAAAGATTTACCACCTTGGAAACCCAATGGGGCTCGCTATGAGTCAGAATCAACTTGATGGCAGTGGGTTTGGTTTTTTGGGGGGCATGTACCCAGGAGTGGAGTTGATGGGTCTTAAGGTAGTTCTTCTATTTTTAACTTTTTGAGGAACTGCCAAGCTGTTCCACAGTGGCTGTACCATGTTGCATTCTCCAGGACACGATACTGACTGCTAAGCTATAGAACCCACTGTACATGAGCCTTAGGCTCAGGGTTTAGGGACATGATATCTGTCCACTCCAGCCTCCCTGTGTAGGAAGTGTCACAGTCCATGGCTCAGAGTGGGATACTGGTGTGCAAGAACCTTGCCCAAACCACACAACTTGTATGCTGGCGTGGAATTCAGATCCAGCCTGTGGTGGTGCCAGGGGCTGCCTGGAGTACCCGGCTCTGGAAGGCCAGCTGGGGTTGTCCAGACAAGATGCACTGTCCCTTCCCCAGGGTGGCATGCGAGTGGTGATCAGATCTTCCCACCCCTCACATATCAGTCAGAGGGTCATGAGAGGAAAAGAAAGTTTAAGGGACTTAGTCCTCCTGCATACTAGCCAAAGGAAGTGGGACACATTAAGGCAAGAGTCCTGAGGGATCAACTAGGGGAGCCCCCATGGGTTGTACAAGGATTTCAGAATGTTCAATTGCAAGAGGGCTTGTTCTGGGGCAGGGCCAGCACAGATGGGGCAAGAGCACCTGCCCAGTTCCCAGAGGATGCAGGTAGCCTGGGAGAAAACGCAGATCCCAAGCCTTGACCAGCAGTGGGTGCAAGTGAGGAAACATGCATTTATCGGGCACCCCTGTATATAGGCCAAGGAGCTCTAGTGGCGCAGTGCCTAAAGCATTTGACTGCAAACCAGAAGATTGATGGTTCAAACCCACCAGATGCTCCACAGAAGGATGACGGAGCAATCTACTTCCTTAAAGATTTACTGCCTCGGAAACCCGATAGAGGTTGCCATGAGTTGAAATCAACTAGATGGCAGTGAGGTTTCTTTCTTTTTTTTTTTTTTTTTTTGTATATAGGCCAAGGTCCCTGGGTGGTGCAAATGGTTTGCACTTGACTACTAACCAAAAGGTTGGCAGTTCAAACCCACACAGCTGCACCACGGAATAAAAGCCTGGAGATCTGCTTTGATTACAGCCAAGGAAACCCTCTGGAACTTTGTTCTCCTCTGTAATACATGAGTCATCATTATTTGGAATTGGCTCAATGACAACCGGTTTGGTTTTTGGTTTTGGCTTAAGGCTTCTAGGTGTCAGGGACATGGGTAGGAGACCTAAGGAGATGGGAAGGAAGGCAGAGCAGGCTGGCCTGAGCCAGGACCAGACAGGAAATGCTGCATGGGGTGACTCTCCCAACCCCCAGGGGCTCCAGAGCTTCAACACTGTGGTCAGAGACAGAGTTACTGAGTGCTCACTGGCCTCCCCTCTGCAGATGCTTGTGGTCCCCGGTGCTCCAGAGCTGTCGTGCAGGAGGGCTGCTGCTCTGAGCCGAGGCCTGGCCAGAGGAGGATGCCCCAACCACCTGTCCTCCAGCCCCAAATGCACCATGAGTGAGGAGCGGTGGCTCCCTGGCAACGCAGTGGGCTGGCTGGCATGCGGCGGCCTCTCTCTGCTGGCCAATGCCTGGGGCATCCTCAGCGTGGGAGCCAAGCAGAAGAAATGGAAGCCGCTGGAGTTCCTGCTGTGCACACTGGCGGCCACCCACATGCTCAACGTGGCTGTACCCATTGCCACCTACGCTGTGGTGCAACTGCGGCGGCAGCACCCCGACTACGAGTGGAATGAAGGCCTCTGCAAGGTCTTTGTCTCCACCTTCTACACCCTTACCCTGGCCACCTGCTTCTCTATCACCTCCCTCTCCTATCACCGCATGTGGATGGTCCGCTGGCCCGTCAACTACCGGTGAGCCAGGGAGCCCATGAGGATGGGTGCATCACTCCAATGTCCAGCATGGGTGTTCTCAGAGAGGACATGTGGGTATGAGCATGAAGGCATGGGGTGTGCCTGTGTGCACACATGCCCTCAGCATGGGGACAGGGTGTGTCCAGGGCAGACAGGAGGCTCAAGAGGAGCTATTCTGGCCTTTAGGAGCATGCACGTGGCATACATGTGGGCATGCCACTGTCCACTACAGACACCCTTGGTGAGAAGAACAGGTGATAATGTGTACAAGCAGCCTCTGTATAGGGGACAGGGACTCCGCCGTGATGGTTTGTCATGACTGTGGTGTCCTGGGGCCCAGGGGTGGTTGGGGTCCCTGGGGAGACCTTGTGGGTGATGCCAGCTCCCTCTGTCCACCCCCTGCCAGGCTGAGCAATGCCAAAAAGCAGGCAGTGCACACGGTCATGGGCATCTGGATGGTGTCCTTCATCCTGTCAGCCCTGCCTGCCGTCGGCTGGCACGACACGAGCGAGCGGTTCTACGCCCACGGCTGCCGCTTCATTGTGGCTGAGATTGGCTTGGGCTTCGGCGTCTGCTTCCTGCTGCTGGTGGGTGGCAGTGTGGCCATGGGTGTGGTCTGCACTGCCATCACCCTCTTCCAGACACTGGCTGTGCAGGTCGGGCGCCGGGCCAACCACCGCGCCTTCACCGTGCCCACCATCGTAGTAGAGGACGCCCAGGGCAAGCGCCGCTCCTCCATCGATGGCTCTGAGCCTGCCAAGACCTCGCTGCAGATCACGGGCCTGGTGGCCACCATTGTTATCATCTACGACTGCCTCATGGGCTTCCCTGTGCTGGTGCGTGTGTTGGGTGGGGACGCTTGTAGAGGACATGGGCTCTGGGGCAGTCCTGGGGGCGTCTCAAAATCTGTTCTTTGAAGTGGGCACTAGCATCATTCCCATTTTACATATTTGGAACCTGAGGTGCAGAAAGGCAAAATGACCCACCTAAAATCAGGGTAGCCATGAGGGGAACTGAACCCATGTCAGGGGACTGCAGAGCCAGGATCTTTCTGCAACACTGAAGGAGGACTTCTTCCCCTCACCTGGAGCCCATTCGATGAAGAGGGTATAGAAGGTGGGGTGACGTCTCCACAGTTTCCCTGGTGAGTCCAGGCCCCAGGATGGACAGAGTAGGGGTGTTTTAGTTATCTAGAGCTGCTGTAACACAAATAACACAAGTGGACAGTTTTAAAGAACAAAAATGTATTTTCTCACAGTTCTGGAAGCTAAAAGCCCAAATCATAGTCTTGGCTTTGTTGATTCCTTCCTTGTCAGTTGTTTCCATTATCGTTAGGTGCCATGGAGTCGGTTCTGACTCATAGCGACCCTGTAGAGAACAGAATGAAATGCTGCCCGGTCCTGCACCATCCTCACAGTCCTTGCCATGCTTGGACCCATAGTTGCAGCCACTGTGTCAGTCCATCTCATTGAGGGGTCTTCCTCTTTTTCACTGACCCTCTACTTTACCAAGCATGATGTCTTTCTCCACGACTGGCCCCTCCTGATAACATGTCCAAATTAAGTGAGATGAAGTCTCACCATCCTCTCTTCTAAGGAGCATCCTGGCTGTACTTTCTCTGGGACAGAGTTGTTCATTCTTCTGGCAGTCCACAGTATAGTCAGTATTCTTCGCCAGCCCCCTATTTCAAAGGCACCAATTCTTTGGTTTTTCTTATTCACTGTCCAGCTTTCACATGCATACGAGACAACTGAAAATACCATGGTTTGGGTCAGGTACACTTTAGTCCTCAAAGTGACATCTTTGCTTGTTAACACTTTAAAGAGATCAGTAGCTCTGAGCATTCCTTGATTCCTTGGGAACCTTCACATGGCATCTGTCTTAGTTCTTTAGTGCTGCTATAACAGAAATACCACAAGTGGATGGCTTTAACAAACAAAAATTTATTATTTTATGATTTAAGAGGCTGTTGTTGTTGTTGTTGTTATGTGCCGTTGAGTCGGCCCCGAGTCATAGCGACCCCTCCTTGGGTTTCCGAGGCAGTATCACTACGGAAGTAGGATTGCCCAACCTTCCTTCCAAGGAGTGGCTGGTGGGTTTGAACCGCCAGCCTTCTGGTTAGCAGTCAAGTGCTTTAGCCACTATGCTACCAGAGCTCCTATTTAAGAGGCTAGAAGTCCAAATTCAGAGTGCTGACTCTAGGGGCTGGATGAAGGCCCCTTGACCTTGGGCTTCAGCTCTGCCTCTTGTTCTAGGCCCACTGAAGCTAAACTTCTTCTGACTCACACAGCTACTGGCTGCTGAGGCTGACAAACCCAAGATTGACAGGTAAAATGGTACAATGCCAAGATTAACAGACAACACAGTAGGCCACTGGTTCAAGTCTAGGACAATCCCAAGTTTGGCAGGCAACACAGCAGGCTACTGGTTTAAGTTCAGGAACTAGAGACAAAGACGGTCAAATGCAGGCTCCAGATGTGCCAAAAAGTTAGAGACTTTTCTTAAAGCTTCTCCATTATGTACTGGAAGCAAGACCTACCCCAAAGGCAGCTCTCCTTCAACTGATGAACTGCTCATAGCAGATTCCATCCACCACAGAGATGATTCCAGTAACTACAACCAGCTGCCAAAGTGTTCAAAACCATGGCATAGCCAAGTTGACACACAACCTGTACTGCCACAGCATCTGTCTTCTTTTGTATGTGTTTATCCCTGTGTCTAATCTGCTCTTTTTATAACTCAGAAGTGACTGGGTTTAGGACTCACCCTAGGCCTCATTCACATAACATTAGATTGCACTATGGAAAGTGATTACGTTACAATGTTACATTACATCCACTAGTACAGGGGTTAGGATTCCAACATATATTTTGGAGGGACACAATTCAATTCATAATTGGGGGGCCTTAGTGGGGTGAGGGTGGGGAAACCTGGAGCAGGAGGCAGGACAAAGCCAGGAAAGGGTTTGAGTGACTGCTGAGTAGTTGGATTTGCTCCTAAGGCCTGAGGAAGACCCTGTTGACAAGTGTCCAAGGCCTAAGGGCTGCCTGAGGCACCTCTCTGTTGGCCTAGGAAGAGGCCTGGCACAAGAACGAAAGTCTAGGCTCCTGGACCTTCCTGTGCCAGGGTGTACCAACTTCACCCACCTTTGTACTCTAACCCAGCACCCCTCCCAAGGATCTGGAGTGGGGCAGGGAGAGGCTAGGTGCAAGGACCAGTCTGAGAAGCTTTGTCTGAGCAGCTACAGGGCTATGTTGCTGGAAACATCCCAGGACACCAGCTTTTGGGGGAATGTGGGGGGTGGCAGGTGGCAGCCTTAGAGCCAGGAGGTGCACACGGGCCACAGCACCTACCCTGCTGACTGGTGACTCACGCCCAGCAGGCCAGTTACCCCCAGGCTGCAAAGGCCTCATGTACAGTGAGGTGGTATCTCCAACCACACTGACTGTAACAAAGGAAGGAGGAGTATGGGTGAAAGTGCCCTGTGGGGCCAGAGGCATCAGCAGGGATAAGAAGGGGCCCAGCCCAGCTCTCCTCAGGGCAGGGGAGGGGGTGTCATTAATGGAGCCTGCTCCATGTTACTGGCACGTTACAACTACTGTCTGGAATCCATACCTCACTCTCTCTATATGTTATTGTTAGTTGACATTGAATTGACTGCCAACTCAAGGCAACCCCGTGCACAATGGAATATGATCAGTTGCAGTTCAGACTGTTGTGACCCACAAGGTTTTCACTGGCTGAATTTCAGAAGTAGATCACCAGGCCTATCTTCCTAGTTCACCTTAGTCTAGAATCTGCTGAAACCTGTTCAGTGCCACAGCAACATTCAAGCTCCCACTGACAGGTGGTGGCTGCACATGGGGTACGCTGGCCAGGAATCAAAATGGGGTCTCCCGCATGGAAGGTGAGAATTCTGCCCTTATAGTGCAGGATATTCTTAGCCTGTTTCACTGGTGAGACACCAAGCCCCTGAGAAGTTTAGCAGCTTTCCAAGGTTGACACAGCTTGCAAATGGCAAAACCAGCATGTTGTCTGCATCATGTCCAACACTTCCTCTCTGTGGTTAGTTTCCTCAGGCTTGGCTGTCATAACAAAGCATCACAAACAGGATGGCTTCAAAAAACAGAGATTCATTCTCACAGCACAGGAGGCCAGAAGTCTAAAACCAAGGTGTCAGCAAGGCCATGTTCCTAAAGGTTCTAGGTAGGATCCTCTTGACTCTTCCAGCTTCTAGCAGTTTCTGGCAATCGTTGGATTATAGTCACATCACTCCAGTCTCTGCCTCTGTCATCACACGGACTCTTGCTGTGTTTGTGTTCTAAGTTCCTTTTTCTTTTAAAGACATCACTCATTGGGTTAGGACCCTAATGACTTCATCTTATTGCATCTGGAAAGACCGTATTTCCAGTCACAATCACATTCACAGGTACTGGAACTTAGGACTTCAACATATCTTTCTTGGGGGACACAATCTGAACACCATTCTGTTTGTTGTTAGGTGCTGTCGCATCAGCTCCAACTCATAGCGACTCTACATACAACAGAACGAAACACTGCCTGGTCATGCACCATTTGCACAATCTGTGCTATATCTGAGCCCATCATTGCAGCCACTGTGTCAATCCCTCTTGTTGAGGGCCTTTGCCTTTTTCATTGACTCTTCACTTTACCAAGCATGATATTCTTCTCCAGGGAATGGTCCTTCTGACAACATGACCAAAGTAGGTGAGACAAAGTCTGGCCATTCTCACTCCAAGGAGCATTCCAGCTGCACTTCTTCCAGGACAGATTTGTTCATTCTTTTGGCAGTCTGCGGTATTTTCAGTATCTTCACCAACACCACAATCAAAAACATCAGTTCTTCTTTGGTCTTCCTCCAGTTTCACATGCATATGAGGTGATTGATAATACCATGGCTTGCGTTAGGCACACCTTAGTCTTCATAGTGACATCTTTGCTCCTTAACACTTTAAAAAGGCCTTTTGCAGCAGATTTGCCCAGTGCAATACATTTGATTTCTTGACTGCTGCTTCCATAGGTGTTGATTGTGGGTATAAGTAAATGAAATTCCTGACAACTTCAATCTTTTCTCCATTTGTCATGATGTTGCTTATTGGTCCAGTTGTGAGGACTTTTGTTTTCTTTATGTTGAGGTGCAATCCATACTGAAAACCATTCTGTTTGGGAAATAGTTAAGTGTCACTCTTGGGAAGGCCAGTGAGCACTCTCTTGAGAGAGAGAGAGAGTGACCTAAACAGGCTGTATGGGGTCCAAGGCCTAGACCCCCATGGGGGCCACTGACCATGGAAAAGTAGGGGTGGCAGAAAGGTCCCTGAGCCAAAGGCTGGCGACTTGGCCCTCCAAGTCTGTTTCCTCATTTCAAAAATGGGACAGTAACCCATGTCCTTACCTCTCTCGATGGTTATCGTGAGAATAGGGAGTCCTAGAGAAGGAGGCAGGGCAAGGACAGAACAGGCCTTGAATGTCCACTGAGGAGCTGGACTTGAGCCCAAGAGCTGGGAAAGGTCAAAGGGAAATGATGGAGGAGTGTTGTCTTGGTTTCCTAAAGGTGGTATAGTTGAAACACCATCAGTGGTGGCTTTAGTGAACAGAAGTTTATTTTCTTACAGTTCAGGAGACTAGAAGTCCAAATTCAGGGCCCCAGTTCTAGGGGAAGCTCTCTCTCCATCCACTCTAGGGGAAAATCTAGCTTCTCTAGCACCAGCATTCTTTGGTTCCTTGGCTATCTTCATGTGGCATCTATCATCTCCTATTTGTGTTGCTTGGTTGTCTCTGTGTCTATGTTATTGTGTATAGCCAAGTGCTTCCATGATTCATACAGCAGTGATTAGGTTTAGGATACCCTTTACTTTGGTATGGCCTCATTAACATAACAAAAAGTCCTTGGGTGACACCTACAGTGAAGCATTGACTACTAGCTGAAAAGCTATCAGTTTAAATGCACCCAGAGGCACCTCAGAAGACAGGCCTTGCAATCTGCCTCTGAAAGGACATAGCCTTGAAAACCCTCTGGAGCAGTTCAGTTCTGCATACGTGAGATCACCATGAGTCAGAATCAACTCAAAGGCAATCAACAACAACAAAACAAAGAAAACCCTATTTCCAAATAGTATTACATCCACAAGTATGGGGTTAAGAATCCCAACACATCTTTTGGGGGACACAATTTAATCTATAACAGGTACCAAGTGCTGCCCAGTACACCTTGGAGGGCTGTGCCCACGGGAGGTAGGACTGTTGATTTGGGCAGCAGGCAGCTATTGGCAGGCAGGACTTCAACCTTCCATACTGCTCTTTTCTTCCTCAAGATCAGAGATCCATCCATCACTGCCACCATCTCCCGTGGCAGGGGGTTGCTGGGTCTGCCATGCAGATTGGGACACTGTGTGATAGATAGGGAGCCTAGGCTGGAGTCTGTCAGTGCCAGGCCACATCCTTCCACAGGTGGTGAGCTTCAGCAGCCTGCGGGCTGATGCCGCAGCTCCCTGGATGGTTCTGTGTGTGCTGTGGTGCTCCGTGACCCAGGCCCTGCTGCTCCCTGTTTTCCTCTGGGCATGTGACCGCTACCGTGCTGACGTCAAAGCCGTCTGGGAGAAGTGCTTGGCCCTCATGGCCAATGATGAGAACTCAGATGATGGTGAGGCTGGGCCTGTGTGGTTCTAGAGAGTGGGATCTGGGTGGGATCACTGGGTCGCCCTTAGGTCACCCCCTGTATCATCCCAAAATGTACCTGAGCCCCTAAGGGAACCAAGTGCAAAATGTACCCAAGGCCTTAAGGGAACCAAGTGCAAGGCTGCATGTCCCACAGGGCACCTCCATATGACTTGGCTGTCCCAGGATTCCCATTAATCAGATGTTCTAGAAACCACTAAGTGTTCCACCTGGCTCACCCTCTACTTAGGGGTCTGTAGGTGAACTGCCCCAGAGCTTCCTGAAGACTTGGTCCTGTCTGCCAACAACAATAACAGTATTACCCTAGGCTGAGACCTTGCCCGTGCCAGGTACTGTAGGCCCTTGTACATATTATTTAGTGCCCTCAGGAACACCTGGGGTAACCTCAGGCCCCACCCCATATTCTAGATGAGGAGACTGGCTCAGTGTGTGACCTGCCCAATTTCATAGCTGAAGTGGGGGTGAGCTGGGATGGAAAGCCAGGCCCAGCTCTCCCTTTTCACTAACCAGCCCCCTTCCCTGGCATGGGGATGGGGGGAGGTTACTGGAGATTTGCTCCCCAATGCTCTGATGTTTCCATGACCCTGAGCCTCTGCCCTATCCTACAGGGTCCAGCCTGGAGGGTGGCGCACCCCCAGACCTGGTGTTGGAGCACTCTGTCAACCACAGCTATGGGGCTGACTTTGTGGCCCTGGATAGGATGGCCAAGTATGAGCTTTCTGTGCTGGAAGGGGACCTGCCTCAGCTCTATCCACTGAGGTCCCTGCAGGAGGACAAGATGCAATACCTTCAGGTATGGACAAGGCAGGCTGGTGACACCGTGGAGGTGGGGTATTCTGATCCCTCAAGGCCTTTCTCTCTCACCTGAACTTATGCCCCAGGCAACTCCAGAAGGTGTTTTCACCCTCTGGCAATAGATGACAGCCTGTGTGGGTGGGCTGAGGTCAGATACCCCAGCCCCTGCCCCTGGCCCATGTGCCTTGGAAGGGCAGTTTGCTGGCACCTATGTTATGTCCTTGAGGCTCAGCACCCCCTTCAGAGGTCCCTTTCCCCAAGCAGCCCAAGCTACAGACACCAAACCTGAGCCTTAGAGAGAGTGCCACTTGCCCTCCTATCTCTCAGCTCCAAACCAGGATGCTGAGCCACAACGTTTGGCCCCTGGCGGACAAGCCATCCATTTCCCAGAAGGGCAGCTCGAGGCCCTTCTGTTCGCGGCTGAGGTCCCTGGTCCCCACAGGTCCCGCCCACGCGGCGCTTCTCCCACGACGACGCAGACGTGTGGGCTACGGTGCCACTGCCCGCCCTCCTGCCTCGCTGGGGCTCCAGCGAGGAACTGGCCGCCCTGGCGCAGCTCGTGCTGCCCGCGCGTCGCTGCGGCAGCCTGCTGGCCTTCGCCGAGGACGTGCCCCCGTTCCGTCCGCGCCGCCGCTCTGCCGACAGCCTGCTGTCGCTGCGGCCCCTGGACTGCGGCCCGCGCAGCGCCACCGACTCTCCGTCTCGCAGCCCGGGCAGCCCGCGCCGTCGCCGCGGGCCCGGCGCCCGCTCAGCCTCGGCTTCGCTGCTGCCTGACGCCTTCGCCCTGACCGCCTTCGAGCACGAGCCGCAAGCCCTCCGCCGCCCGCCAGCTCCCGTAGGGACTGGTCCTCTCACCGTCCCCGCCGAGCCCCGGGCGACCCCTGGCGGCGGCTTGCAGCCGAGCCCCAGGCCACGCACAGCGGCGTCCCTCGGGCCTCTGCGTTCAAGCTTGAGTGCATCATGGGGGGAGCCTGGCGGCTTGCGCGCGGCGGGCGGCGGCGGCGGCAGCACCAGCAGCTTCCTGAGCTCTCCTTCTGAGTCCTCGGGCTACGTCACGCTGCACTCGGACTCGCTGGGATCGGCGTCCTAGGGCCCGATGGCCCCTCCGCGCCGTGGAAGCCGAGCAGGCCAGGCCGCCGGCGGGACCCAAGACCAAAGATCCCACTTCGGTCCCGTTTCTGGCTCGGGACAGCGGGCGCTGAGCCTGCCCAGACATGTGCCACCCCCTGGGGAGGGCGGCCCCAGCGCTTCATCTGGCTCTTCTGTACCTGCCATGGGAGAGGGGATTGCCTAGAGGCTCTGGCTGCCCTGGCTATGCAGCATATAGCACCTCCTGGGTGGGAAATGAGGCTGGCAAAGGCGGGGCTCTGCAAGCCCAGCTGCACCCACTTATCCCTGTGGCAGCTGGATGGGGGTGTGGGGTGGGGAGTTCCCTGAGGGGGGGCCTTCGGAAGGAACAAAGCCCTGCCTAGAGGAGCTAGAGCCAAAGCCACCGGACTAAGTGGGCTTTCCTCTCTGCACTGTAATTGTCACACCACGGGGATGGGTGCAGAGGGTCTCTAAGCACAGGGGTCTTCAGAACCCAAACCAGCTCTCAGAGCAGTCTCCTTGCCTCAGAGCTTTTCTGCCTCAGTTTCCCCATCTGTGATGAGCAGGTGATCCTTGTTAACTCTCAGGGCTGTTTGGAGAAGTCTCCTGGTCTGTGTGCTCTGGCCACTGAGGGGACTGGGGTGTGGCTCCCAGGCCTGAGACCTCCCACTCTTGGTGCCCCAGCCCCCTTAGGAGCTCACACTGCACTCCAGCTAAGCACAACACTGTTGCACATCACTATTGACACCACAGCCACCTTGATCACCATCAGTGTCCCCTCCCTCATCACATGCCATCATTGCCTGTCAACCACATCTGTGACTCCCCCATGAAGGCTGTGGGTAGAAAGGCCTAAAGCAAAGACAGAATGGGTCTCCCTTGATCCAATGCCCATCTCCAGCTTCATCCCCACCTGTGCAGGTGGGAGTCCCCCCCCCACACCATGGGGACAGGACTTTTCCTTGCTCTCTTTCCTGGGCAGCCCCTGGTCCCTTGCAGGTCTGGACTTTGCCCTGGGGCCTGCTAAGTCTTCATGGAAGAAGACTCTAGGCTCAGGCTAAGGAGATGCCCACAAGCAGCTGTGACCTGGACATGGAGGCACAAAGTGTCTTCAGAGGCTGCCTCTTTCTGGCCCTTCCTCCATGCAGTGGCCCCTAAATCTGACAACTTGGGGTGGGTTCCAAGGCCAGACCAGAGCCACCCTATTCCTTCTGCTCCACAAGTGTGGCATTGCAACACTGCCTCTGCCCCACAGGTGGCCAAGCCCATCCCTTCAACCTCCAGACAGGGTCTCAGCCCAGGCCACTGGGTATGGAACAGTGGGACTGCCTGGCTCTGTCTAGGCCTGAGGCCCCTCCAATCCCTTGATGTGGGGTAAGTAGGAGAGGAGCTGGCCACAGGTGAGCAAGGCAGGGGACCACAGTCCAGCCTGGCCATGGGAAGGGCTGCCTCTGGCCAATGCTCCTGTGTGCCTTCAAGGACAAACATTTCATGTGCGGGCAGTGACTGTGGCTAGCCACAATCCGCTCCTCAGGCTGGCCCATCTATCACCTTGGATTTTCACTCTGTAGATCATATCCAACGGCAATACTTACAGGGGACATGGTCCCCAAACTCTCTCCAGTTCTGATTTTTACAAAAAGGCAGAGACCCCAAACAGAAGACCCTGAGGTCTAGGGCTCCCTCCAGCATTTTGTCCAGCCTTGGGCCTGTTGGCTATGTTTATAAAAAGCTGGACCTTGGGCATGCGGGGAGGGAGGTCTGTCAATACGCAGCCCAGAGCCAGGGATCCGTTTGTAGTTTTTCACAACTGATCATTTCTCTTCTGTACAGGACCCAATAAAATCTCCCTTATGATTTGCATTTGGTATCCCAGGCTGCTTTCAGGAAAACACCCTTGAAGAACCTCACACTACCACTGGCCAAGTGCCCCCAAATCTCTGTCCCTCTGGGACTTGAAATTCCAACAACAGTCCTTTATTCTTTGGTGTCTGACTTGTCCCCTTTCTCTGACAAGTGCTCCAACTCCACCCAGTGATAGAGATGGGCCTGGAGCAGCCACAAAATGGAGAGGTGGAGTGAGCATCCTACCGGCGCAAAGGGTCCTATTAGCACAGGTAACAGCCCCAGTGAGGTTAATGCAGGAGGGTGACCCGAAGGAAGTTGTTTTCGGGGGGCCTGGGAAGCGCGGGGACGGCTGTGCTCTAAGACCATCCCTAGGCTCCCCTCTGTCGGGAATTTGGAAGCTGCGTCCTAGGGTCTGCAGTGCAAGGCCGCCGCCTGGTGGCCAGCGGAAGGATTTATCCTGGTTTAACTCACCACCACCACCTGGTGCAGCCTTGGAAGCTTACACTAAGAGCGACAACTACAGCCAGGAGCCCCGCCCTTGCTCCGCGCTCCAAGAGGTCATTGGGCTACTCCGGCTCCCCGCAGTCGGACCAAAATGGGTTTACTGAGCCTGCAATTCAGGGACAGCCAAAAACAAGAAAATCTTGTATTGGAAGTTTGTTATTTGTGCTTCAAAAAGAAGCATCGAAGTAGACATCGTGGGAGAAATTACAATGTCCTTGGCACCTTTATACCCGTGTTAGAAGGTCGCTCTCTTTATTCTGAATTACAATGGGAAGAGGTACCATGATCTCTTCAGGGCTCCGCGCAGGAACCCGTTCCCACCCCGGTTGAGGGTGCCCTTCGCGGGCCGGGGCTGCAGGCCCAGTAGAAGAAACATTGACTTGGGCGTCTCAGAGCACATCAGTGACCTCAATTACGTACGAATAAACAGGCGCAGATCGCTCCCGCGGCCCTCGAGGGTCGAGAGCTTGCACGCAGGCCCCAGGTGTCCGGAGGCGGGGCTTTGCGAGGCTGATGACGAGCTGCTCCCAGCCTGGACTGCAGGCCAGGGATCTTTGTTGAGCCTGGGCCGGGGACCTCTCCCAAGAGAAGGGCCCGGGTTCGCTCTTGCAGTCCTCAGGCTGGTGCGATTCAGAACCGGGTCCCTCCCAAGAACCGCGCGGTCCCGGAGTTTGGGGAACGGGCCGGGGCGACTGTGGGACTGGGCGTCCAAGGCGGAGCATCTTAGGGGCGGAGCTAGAGCGCAGAACTTGACGCGGGGGGGTTCGGGTGCCCGGCTTCCCAGAGGTCTGGCCTAGGATAGGCGGATCTCCCGGTGGGCCGGGCTGCTTGCACAGGGGGTGGGGGTCATTGGGAGCGGAGTGCGGTCCAAGGTGGGGCTAGGGGGAAGGGTTCCTCCCCGGCGGGGCGGGGCCCGGCGCGCTTTGTGCCGGTGGGAACCCGGCGACTGCGGCCGGCTGAATGGGCTGGGGCGGGGCAGCGATTCTCCTCGCTGCGAGAGGTCTGCTCTGCGCCGCTGCCGACCGCGACCTTCCCACTGGGGCACAGCCACCGGGCGGGGCCGGGCCCCTGGGAAAGGGGCGCAGACGAGGACCCCCCCTCCCCCTCCTAGCCCCACTGGGTGGGAAGAGGGGAGAGCGAGTGCGGCCAGAGTATGTGAGGCTGGAGTGTGGGAGCCACGGTGCGCCCACGATAGTCCCTGCGCCCCTAGGCCCGACGGGGCACAGATCAGTCCGAAATCACACCTCCTCCCCGCGTTCCGCCCTCCTGCGCCTCACCAGGGTCGCCACACGCGCAGCCCCGGGCCCGGGCTGTCGGGGCGGCGGCGCGAGGCTGGCTGAGGAGCCGAGACGCTGGTTGACAGGCCAGGAGGGCCACTGGCAAGGAGCAGCCGCGGTGGCGGGGACCGTGGGCTGCCAGTGGCCGGAACCGGAGCGGCAACCCAGGCAGAGTGGCCATTCGGACAGTGCAACGCGAGCGCCTCGGGGCAGGAACTGGGTCCGGCGCTGTCCATGGTGCTGCCGCCCGTGCACTCCAGCACCAGGGGGCAGTGCAGGCCGTTCCCCTCCTCACCATGCCGCAGGAGCTGGCTCACGCCTGGCAGGCAGCCGCGGAAGCCGGGTGGGTACTCGGCGCCGCCAGGGGCCGGCCAGAGCCCTGGAGGACCGGAGCAAGGGGAGAAATGGGGAAGGGAGAGGTAGAGAGGGGAGGCGAAGCGGAGAGGAGAGGTGTGGAGGGGAAGAGGAGAGGGGAGAAGTGTGGAGGGAAGGGGAGAGCAGAAAAAAGGAGGGGAGAGGAGACGAACGCCTTCCCGGATCCCAGAACTCTGCCCACAGGCCGCCTTTCACATCTCGCCCTTGCCCCGCAATAAGCTGTAGTCCTCTCCTTACTCGGCTGCCCACCTGTCCCAGCTTTCATCTCCACTCATGCCCCTTCTCTCTCTGACCTCCTCATATCCGTGCCATATCCGTGGCCGTTACCCCACAGACACTCCCACCCCCACCTCCGGGTCACCCCCTCACCTTGCAGGGAGCTCTGCATGCTCTTCATGTACTTGACGCTCAGCTCTAGGATGTCTGCCTTTTCCAACTTGCGTTTTCGGATCTGCAGATCAGTGGGAAACGCTTTTAGCTGGGCAGCCCCGGAGGAATGAGGCTGGGCACCTTGTGTCACCCCCTCACCCCCGCATCCCTGGGTCCCTCACCTGGTGTGAGTAGTGTTTCTCTAGCAGACACTTGAGCTGCTCCAGTGACACGTTTATGCGTGCACGTCGCTTCTTCTCCATCAGAGGCTTGGAGATCTGTGGGCAAGCAGACCTGTTTGAATACAGGACCCCTGCCTTCCCACCCTCTGCCCCCCCAACAGTCTGGGCAGGGTCCCCCACCCGACACCCCATGTCCCTTTGGACCCAAGACCTTGCGGAAGTTGCCAGCTAGGTTGCCCCGGGTCTCAGGCTGTGTGCCCATTTTGCCGGAACTCTGCCCATGGGAGGTGCCACGGCCTTTATAGGGGCCCCTCGTTTACATGTCAATGAGGCGCTTTGGACTAGAGGAACCCCGAGGAGGAGGGGAATGGAGGGAACACACCAGGGAGGCTCCCTACCCCCCTCCGCTTGGCCCTTTCCCCTTTGACCTCACCTCAGGGACCCTCCTCCCTCCCGAGGGACCATTTTCCCCCTTTCTCAGTCTTTCCTTTATTTCTCTAATCCCCAGCACTTCCCGAGTCTGGGGTCTCCTCCCCTCTCGCTCTTGTCCAAACCATGTCCATTCTACTCTGTGTAGAATCTGGGCCTTCCCACCAGGCACCCATTCCGTGTCGCTAGCCCCATGTTTCCAAGCAGCTAATCAGGGATCCTCTATTGGGCCTCAGGGGGTCATCCTGGGGGAGGTCTATGGGCTAGGCTGGCCTGGGCTGTGATAATGACTATGACAGAGGGAGGATTTCCCTCTGCCAGCCTGATGAAGATGCTGAAGCAGGAGGCACCGCCAGGTAGGCCTTTCTGTGCACTTCACGCTCTGGCCGTGCCTGCGACGCTGCATTAGTCTCCCTAACATGGGACAATGCAGCGATTTTCTGCCTGTGACCGCTCAAAGCCGGCTACACAGTGACATGTGTCCCATTAAAGCATGCAGCCCGCCCGCGGGGCCACAGCTTGCCTCCTCCTTGCTTGGAGCCTAGGGCCTTGGAGTGCTCCTCTATAGGCAGCAATGTGGGCCTGGTGCCCTCCATCAGGGGAGCCTACCTAGGACACTTCCGGATGTGGGCAACGTAGGGCAGCTGCAGAGTAGGGGTGAATCAGAGTGGCCTGGAGTCAAACCCACTCCTAGCCCTAGGCAGTGAGGCTGGGCAACTTGAGCTCCAAGGAGGACCTTTCCCCTGGGAAGAGCTGGAGGTCCACTCCTGAGAGGTTTTTCTCAGTCCCCAGAGCAAGAGAAGAAAAAGCTGTTCAGCAATCGTCTGAGGACAGACAGTCTGTACTTTAGGAGGGCAATTCAGAGCCACCAACATCCCTTTCCATTATCCAAGGCCATAGAAGCCCAGGGTGGAGGAGTGCTCCTCGATGGTTAGGTCTCAGGAGTAGGAATCTGGAGCGGTCCTCCCAGGCCATCCCCAGGAGGCTGGGCTCCAGTAGCTGTGATTGACCAGATTCCCAAGGAGTCCCTAGGTTGGAAACTAGACACCTCCTTTTACTGGGCTCTTGTGCCCTTAATTGGAGGGTTTGTAAAATGGGCTCTGAACAATGGTGTCTCCACTATCACTTCCGAAGGCGAGTGGGAAGTCCCAGGGACGCAAAAACTCTGTAGGAGAGCTCTGTGGCAGAGGAAGCAACTTACCGGCCGCTACGGGCCTCTGTATGCAGGGGAGGTGGCGGCGGGTCCCAGGTGGGCCCCCCAGATCCCTAGAGCTGGGCTATCTCCCTCCCCGCCCCTCTCGGGGTATTGACGGGTCCTGCAGGGCCGCCGCGTTCCCAGGCGTCTCGCAGCGTGGAGAATCGCTCCCCGCCCTCCCCCTTTCAGGCAGCGCCAACGGGGACAGCAGCATAGGGCTCTCTCCCTCCTGGGCCCCAGAGGTCCATGGGCCAGATTCGGGCAAGATGGACCCAGGACCGAGCCGCGGGGCCGAAACCAGGCGGCGGGCTCAGGCACGCGCCGGGAGCTTTGAAGCATGGGGGCCCACAGGGCTGGGGTAGCCTAGGCGAGGTGCGCTCCGGGCTTAGGGCGGGGACCGGACGGTACAAAGGCGCCGCGGGCCCGGCAGGCGGCCCGACAGGGCACAAAGGGGGCAGCCGAGTGTTAAGGGCATTGTGCCGGCCTCACAAAGCCGCGGCCGCGCCCGCCCCTTGGGGCCAAACTCCGGGCGCCCCGCCGCGCGCGGCCTTCCAGCTGCCGCACATCTGCACTGAGACCCAGGCGCGCGCCTCGGCCCAATGAGTCCCTTGCCCCCGATCCTGGGGCCGCTCAGGCAGCGAGGCAATTTGTCCTGTAATTACGATGCCCTCCCCATAAACCGCCGCCCGCGCCTTTCAACTCCGGTGCATTAGCAAACCAATGGCCCCTAGGCGCAGCTCTCATGGCCCGCAGCAGGGGCGCCGGGCCCGCCCCCTCTCCAGAGTTAAGGTCGCCATAAAGGGGCCCGCGGGCCTTCTCCACCGGCGCCTCGCCACCCGCCGCACCAGGGTCACCCTCTTCCCGAGTCCAAGTCAGGGGATTCTGGCTGCTCTGGGTGGGGCAGCTCACGTGGGTGGCGCAGTGGCTCTTAAGTAGTGGAAAATTGACCGCAAAATGCGCTAATTCGCAATGTTCTGCTTTGGCTGCGGGAGGCAAGACCAGCCTGCGGTGGCCGGGGCGGGATTCACAGCCGACACGCCCCACCCTGGCTCACTTAATGGGCTCCGGCTGCCCCTCCCTAGCCGGGGCGCCGCCCGCTGCGCCCTCTCCTCTGTGGTGGTGAATCCTAAACTAGGAGTCTCCCCCACCTGGGCTGAACCCCCTTCCTGGGCCTCCCGGTCCGGAGCATGGCTCCACGCGGTGAACAGCCCATTTGGTCCACTCCCGCCTCAAGCCGACTGAGGCCCCTTAGGCTTCCAGGGTTGCGATTTCCATCACTCCCTTCTTCCAAGCTCGGATGCAGCTTCCACCCTTCCCCCATCCTATCCCCAATTCCGGCATCGGCCTCTCGGAAGCACCTTCCCCTACGCAAGTTAGTTCTTGGCATCTGGCCAGGTCTTTGGAAACTAGTAGAGGAACTTTTACTGAAACCCTACCCTGTGATCCAAACTGGGGCCCCACTTTTCCGCACCCCCACTGTTTGTATATCATGCCCCTCAGCATTCTACGTGAGCCCTTAAGCAGGCAAGCGGGCTCCAAGCAGTAGGGGTGGGTGAGAAGAGGCATTTTCAGTGAGGGAGCTAGGCAGCAGCATACCTGCCCTCTCAGACTAAGCAGGACAAAACACTTTTGGGAAGGGCAAGGACCAACTTAGAAGCAGGGCTTACATAAGCCCTAATGTAGGCCACATTCCTTTTCCATTTTTAGCATCTGGAGCCCCAAGGCACCTGGAAAGGAGCACACATCCAGTCAGTGCCTGGGAGACCCAGGCAGGCCTCTGCTCATTCAAGGAAAGAATGTTTCCTTCTGTAATGCCTGCAGGCTCTTGGGGCCCTGGTGCTGTTCAGGACCCCTCATTTTCTTGCTGGAGAGCTTAAGGCAAAGTAGCCTGAGCGCTTTGCCCTACACACACACACACACACACACATTTTGGCAATGAACAAACTTTTTAGGACACAATGCATGACAGGCTTTGTCTGAAAATGAGGAAGGGAGAGGGTTTTGCAGGCCCTGGAACAAATTCCAGGTAAGAGCCATCCTGGCTCTGAGGCCTCTCAGCCCTGGGTAGGAGCCCTTCCTTTCTGTATTTCCAGGGTTTTAAACTAGTGTTAGGAGCTCTGGTGGCATAGTGCCTAAAGCATTTGACTGATAACTAGAACACTGGCAGTTCAAACCCACCAGCCACTCCTCAGAAGGAAGATTGGGCAATCTACTTCTGTAGTGATACTGCCTTGGAAACCCAAGGAGGGGTCGCTATGAATCCGATCCTACTAGATGGCAGGCAGTGAGTTGTTTGTTTTTTAAAAATGTTAACTGATGAGCGGTGTGCAGGCCACTGTGGGTGCCAGTGATTGAAGGGTGAAAGGCATTGAGCCCCCTTTGCAGATGCATTTCAAAGTGGAATAAAGTGATTGCTCCATGTAATTAACTATTGCAACACAGCAAAAGCATGGGAATGACTTGGCCAATTGTTTCCAGATGGGCTTGGAGAGGTGGCGATTGTTTAACTCTCTTTAGCACTGTTGGGACTACAAATAGCCTGGTGGCCAAGAGCTCTTTAGGGGACAAAGGCTGGGACTCCAGTGAGTGCATCAATGCTGAACTGGCCTGGCCCAGCTTGGGGAAAGTGAATTCAGAGAGACCCCCATTGTCCTGGTCCTTTGTGTCTCTGCCCAGCTGGCTCTAATCTTTAAATATTTACCCGGGCCCCTTTGTGCACATATGAGTTATGCACTTTTGGGCTGATGTGCTCATAAACTACACATCATTTACCCATTTCCGGCTGGAGAGAGGGGACTTTCATGCCTCTAGCCCAGAATGGCCCGAGGAGGGGAAGAAAACCTTTGGAGGACCAGGGTTCCCACTCAGAGTTGTGGCCACATGGGACAGGTCCCTCCCCACTGTACCTCCTGGCTTCCACGTGAACATAGGCTGACAGACTCCTGTGAACGACTGAGAGCAGCAGGAAGTCATTTCCCTAAAAAATGAGAGACCAGGTTAGGACCCAGGACCCATTGGGGTGGAAAGAAAGTGAGGTTCCTTGACTTCTCCCTGCTTGGTTTAGGGTTTGGACAGCACTTAGGACTGAAGCCAACTTTCCATCCTAGGAAGCTGGGTTGAGTTTATCCATCTCTCACATGAAGAGGGGAAAGCTCATCCTTGCACTGCCTCCTGGCTGTCAGGGGGCAGGGGGGCTCACCACTTCCTACATTCTTTCTTGCTCAATGGAAAAAACAGTTGCTATCTATTCAGTACCAACTCATGGCAACCTCATGTGTGTCAGAGTAGGACTGTGGTCCACAGGGTTTTCAATGGCTGATATTTTGGAAGTAGATCAGGCTTTTCTTCCCAAACCCCGCTGGGTGGACTGGAATCTCCAACCTTTCAGTTAGCAGTTGAGTGAGTGACCATTTGCACCACACAAGGACTCTTGTTCAATGGAAAGCAATTCCATTTAGAAATCCAAACCAAACCCGGGGCTATCGGGTCAATTCCAACTCAGCGACCCTGTAGGGCAAAGTACAACTGCCCCCTAGGGTTTCCAAGGCTGGAAATCTTTACGGAAGCAGACTGCTACATCTTTCTGCTGCAGAGCAGCAGAGCGGCTGGTGGGTTTAAGGCACCAACCTTTCGGTTAGCAGCCAAGCACTTTAACCACTGGGGATCCTTTTTTAAGAAAAGGCAGGCTGATTTATTCTCAGCCTGGTTTTACTTGCAAATGTAACATAAGGTGGTTCTTAGCACTCTTTAAAACAGCAGGGGTCCCCACGTGGGCCCAGGAAGAAAAGCCACCTCACCAGGTGAGGGCAGATGGTAGGTTGATGGGGATAGGGGGAAGTGTGTATGTGGCGGTGACTGCAAACAGATCTTCCTGCATGTGAAAGGGTTCCCTTTGTGCTGGCTTCCCAGATCCTAGAACAAAACACATTCAAATGCTTATTAACTAGGAAAGGCAGTAAGATATCCCCAGGGCGGAGTAGTTTTTTTTCTTATTTATTTATTTGTAGTTTTGCCATCTCCCCAAGCCTTATGTGTTCCACACTGGAGAGCCCAGTGCGTACTGAGCTCGTCTCTGTCTCAGTAATTTCTCTCTGTTTGTGTCTTTCTGTGTTTCTGAGTGCATCTGTGTGTGACTGTGTTTCTCTGGGTATAGGCTTGTGTGTACAGGCAGATTCAGCAACTCCAGAGACTTCAAAAATACCCCCTTCCCTAGATCTGGCCTTGCAGGAGACTGTCTCCAAGTCTCCTCCTTCACTTTCCAAGATGAGGCTGATGAAGATGGAGAGCCTGAGGAAGGTGACGGGCCAAGGAAAGGGGCTTCGTGGGCTCTAGTTATCTGTTCTGAATGACATGTTATTCTATGCCTCCTGAATGGTGATGGTCTCCAGGGATAAATTGGGGCCAGAAAGAGAGAGTAGGGGGCAAATGCCAATGACCAGATGTAGAACTTCAGGAGTGGCTTTCAACTTCAGGACCAGGGTCCCTCTCTGGAGTAAAGATGTAATGAAGGCCCTCTAGTGGCCTCAGGGAGTCCTTGCGCAGAGGTCCTGAGTCTGGGGGAGACCCTGAGAAACTGAGGACAGGGCCAGAAGCTCCATCTCTCAGCCCCCAGGAACATCTATGCCTCCTTTATTTATGGTGCTGTAACTCAATGGATTTTTAAACATTAAATTTCCTTTCAATTCCCATTACCTGAGTTTAGCAAATGTTTAGCACCATTAGAGAGCACCACATCGTAGGTGATCCTTAGGTGGTACAAACAGTTTGCATTAGATTACTAATCTAAAGACTGGTGGTTCAAATCCACTCAGGGGTACTGTGGAAGAAAGGCCTGGTGATCTGCTTCTGTTAAGACTACAACCAAGAAAACCCTATGGAGCAGTTCACATGGGATGTGAACTGTAACACGTGGGTCCGCTGTGAGTCAGAACTGATTCAACTGCAACAACTCAATGGCAACAGGTTTGGGTTTGGTCTTGGTGCTCTGGAAGTTTATAGAAGTATTCTGGGCTTTTATAGAAGTACTTACAGTTGCGTGATAGATCAAGACCACATTTTATAGAAACTGAGGCTTATAGAATTGATGTGCCCAAGATCATAAAATTAGGCTGCAGGTGTCAGGAGCTGGGATGGCAGCCAGGGTCTTCATTAGTCCCCTAGCCCAGCTACCCAGACCCCTTCCCCCTCCCCCGGGGCCTGTCCTCCATCCTGCCTCTGGCTTGTTCCCTCCGGCCTCTGCCTGTGAGAATGCAGCGTCCTCCCTCCGGGTGGATGCCCTTGCTCTCATTTCCAGCGGCAGGCCGGCTGCGTCCCCTTGGGCCTCGAGGCCAAGCTGAGTTTCTTCCCGGCAACTGCCGTGGCCTCCACGCTTCCACCCTTCAACTTTCCCTGGGTGCTCCTCTCTTCTACCTTTTCACCCCACCCAACAGTTTATCTAGTTGTCTGTTTACCTTTCTCCTCCGTCACAGTTCTGACTTCCCGCGGTGGGGCATTTACTCTTTAAAAAAGTAAAGTGCTATTTCTGATTGTAAACCATGCAAGTTCTTGCAGGAATATGGCAAATACAAGAACATATAGAGAAAACAATAAATTGTCCGATGTATTACCACCTAAAGATGTTTGCTGTTGAACTTTCGTTTACATATATTTCAATCCTTGTTCCAACCTCGTATGTATCCTTTTTTTTCCCCGCAAAGCCAAGTCAGTGCAAAGGTTTTATTCTGCTCTTGAAAAACCGGAATCTGTACTGAATATTTGCCCACGGATTTAAATGGTCTGTAATCCCCTTGCCTAGATGCCCGAATGGAGGGTATTTAGGTGGTTTCCTCCGATAGGAACATTCTTGAGTTTGGGGCAAACTTACAGCACAAGCCTGGGCGATAAGCAACCCGAGCTCCGCAGCTACTTAATTTGGGGGAGGGGAAGTCCCGGAAGAGACACAGGCGGGGCGGGGCACAGTGATCCCGCCAAATTCAGGACAGGAGCCGAGAGGGGTGGCGGTCTCGCGAGAACTTTCAGCACACGCGCGGCTACGGGCAGGCTGCCCTTCCCGGCGCGCCTTCGGTGGCGGAGTGCGCAGGCGCGGCCGGCGGGTTTCCCCGGGCTACAGTCGCCGCCGCTGCTGCCCGCTGGTCTGCTGCCCTGCGCCATGGCGGGTTGCATGGCGCGGGCTCCGCCGGGCTCTGAGGCGCGCCTCAGCCTTGCCACCTTCCTGCTGGGAGCCTCGGTGCTCGCGCTGCCACTGCTCACGCGCGCCGGCCTGCAGGGCCGCACCGGGCTGGCGCTCTACGTGGCTGGGCTCAACGCGCTGCTGCTGCTGCTCTACCGGCCGCCACGCTACCAGGTGGGGGCCGGACCGGGCGGGTCGCGGGCTGCGACGGGGACCCTGCACCCTTTCCCTGGGGCCAGAGCTACCGGGAGCGGGGTCAGCGGAAAGAGCCCTTCCACGGGCGTGCTTTTTAGCTGCAAGTTCAGGTTGGACGCCAGCCTCGCAGGGCTCCTGGGGGCGTCCGGTGTGGGGTCCTTTCCACCCGGCAGAGTGGGTGTTCGATTGCAGTTCTTGTCTCTCAGCAGCTGCGGCAGATGCGCTGGGGTGGGGAGGAGGGAGCCTCCCAGTTCATGTAATTTAAGGTGTGGAGCTTTAACTGTTGCCAAGTTTGCGAGGTCAGAGGCCCGCATGTCCATGGAGGGGGCTGGGCGTAGAGCTCCGGGTGCCCTGTCCAGTTTTGCTGCAGGGATTTGGGAAGGTCTTGCCAGTAAGCGAGATTTCCAGGATATTCCCGCAGCCCTGAATAAAGCAGCAATAATAGTAATGGCAGCTAAAACTTGTGTAGCACTTTTAAGTGCTTTACATGAGAAGGCTTCTCAGTAGTCCTAAGAAATAGTTACTGTTGTTACACCCACTTTGTCAATGGGGAAACAGATCCAGAGAGGTTAAGTAACTTGCCCAAGGCCACACAGCCAGTGAGGGGTGCTGGTGGGATTTGAATCCAGGCAGCCGGGCTTCAGTCCCTTAAGGGGTGAGCAGATCCGCTCTCTGGCTGCAAGTGGCCAGCTTATCCCAGGATGGCTAGCAGCCTGGTTTTGTGCTCCCAAAACGACTGGGTGACTGAGCTCTTTTGGGTCTATTTCAGATAGCCATTCGAGCATGTTTCCTTGGTTTTGTGTTTGGCTGCGGCATGCTGCTAAGTTTTAGCCAGTCTTCTTGGAATCACTTTGGCTGGTAAGAAGTACTTTTGGAATAATGATTTTGAGGAGAGGGAGGCTGGATCAGAGGGTCAGCACCCGCTTCTCCTTCTCCCAGCACCTCATCTTTGACTGGCTCTAAAGGCAATTTGGGGAGCTCTGGTAGCATAGTGGCTAAGACACTTGCCTGCTAACCAGACGGCTGGCGGTTCAAACCCACCAGCCACTCCTCAGAAGGAAGGTTGGGCATTCCTACTTCCGTAGTGATACTGCCTCGGAAACCCAAGGAGGGGTCGCTATGAGTCGGGTTTGACTCGACGGCACATAACAACAACAACAAAGGCAATTTGAGGTTCTGTGGAAACCAGGTCACTAGTTTCCGCCCAGATGCCCACATCTTGGACCTTGTGATTTTCTGCCCATTGGTGGCTTCTGTTGCAGGCAGAAAGGGTCTCCTTGGTGCAATCCTGACAGCTGTCCTTGTCTGCACTGTAGCTGCTGGGACAGCATTCAGTGAGTCGACGAGCCCTTCTCGAAAGGGGACACAGATCCTCAGTGATGGAAAGGGGCAAGGCTCCAGCTTGTCTTCATAGGCCTCTTCCATCTCTAATTTCCATTAGGTAACATCTAGTACAGCCCCACGGCCAGTGTAGGATTTTCCCCTACACTTGATTTCAAATCCCTTGAGCCTTCTAGTCCCTGACCTGGATATGAACCAGTGGCGTCAAGGTAAAAAGCTTCATCTGCTTTTATCAGTACTCTGAGCCATCTAATCCTTCTTTGCGGCGGTGCTTTCGATTTTGTTGAATTTTTATGCCCAACATACATCATTACTTTGAAATTTCCCTTTGTCATGTTTTATCATGTGTGTTGTCATTTTAAAAGGGCCCATAATGCCTTCCTAACCTGGTTTTTTTTGTTTTGTTTTGTTTTTTTTTTTTTTGCCAGTGATCCTTAAAAACATAGTCTCTTTAGAACCCTAACTCTGTAAACCTGAGGGCATCTTTGTACATATAGACACCTGATGGTTTCTCTAGGCAGGTGACAACAGGTATTTCAGTATAGAATTGAGAGACAGCAAGCCCACATCTGTACTTTTGTTTATGGCTAACTTGATTCCCTTGCCCCAATGAATCTCTTTCTCTGCTTTTTCTTAGGTACATGTGCTCCCTGTCATTATTCCACTATTCTGAATACTTAGTGACGGCCGTCAATAATCCCAAGAGTCTGTCCCTGGATTCCTTTCTCCTGAATCACAGTCTGGAGTATACTGTAGCTGCCCTTTCTTCTTGGATAGAGTTCACGCTTGAAAATATCTTCTGGCCAGGTTAGTGTGCCCTGTTTTCCCTTCCAGAGGGGAGAAGGGTGGCATCCACCATAGCCAAGGCAGTGAGTGACATTGGTCCACCTCCTGGGCCTAATCTCCCCTGAGCAGTTTCCACCCAGGCCTCAGCCCTCACTAAGCTCTTTATAAAGGATGAGCCCTGTGGGGAACTCCACTTCTAGATTCTGAATTGAGGACATGTTGGCCTTTTGCCTTAAACCTTGCATAATTTGAAATATCATCTAGTAAGACTTCCCAACCCTGGATAATTAGAATCCTTAATTTTACAATTAGAGGAGGTTTGGGTATATATCTTGACTTGAGAAAGGCACCCTGGTGGCTCAGTGGTTTGGTACTTAGCTTCTACTTGAAAGGTCAGCAGTTTGAACCCACCGGGCAATTTGCTTCTGTAAAGATTTACAGCCTTGGAAACCCTGTGGGCAGTTCTACTCTGTTTTATAAGGTCACTATGAGTTGAAATCAATTTGACGATAATGGGTTAGTTGAGTTTTTCTCTTTTTTTTGTATGAGTTAAAAAATGTTATGTGACAATTTTATTAGCAATAAACCTCTACATCTGGAACCTACTCTGGTATTGAACTTCCCACCCAGTAAATGAAATAAAAGGTGTGTGACTCCCAAACAAAAAACCAAACACATTGCCATCAAGTCAGTTCAGTAGAACTGTGATACATCGGGTGTTTTTTTTTTTTTTAATGTAATCTTTATGGAGGAGAACTAGTAGCACAATGGTTAAGCACTTCCGCTGCTAACTGAAAGATTGGCAGTTTGAACCTACCAGCCACTGTGTGGGAGAAACACCTGTCAGTCTGTTCCAGTAAAGATTACAGCCAAGAAAACCCTATGAGGTAGTTCTGCTGTGTCATGTGGGCTTGCTGTGAGTTGGAAATTGACTCGGTGGCACCTAACACTGCTTTTCAGAAGCAGGTCACCAGGCCTTTCTTCCACAGTGCCACTGGGTGGGTTTAGACTGCCGACCATTAGATTTGTAGTTCTTTACTTCACTTAGCTGTACCTGTGGTAAAGGTATAAGTGAAAGACACCGTGTGGTGGGAGGGACATGAATGAGAGAGCCCACAGCTCTAGGAGAGGAGGACCTCTTTTATCTTGCCGCTCTAACACATGATGCCCCTTTGAAGTAAATGGATGAACATCATGACTTCAGGGACCGTATTTTGCTCATAATATAATTTTAATGTGATGGCAAATGCTAATTGCCCTCTAGGACGTTTTCTAACGATTCCTCCTTTGGAGATATAAGTTCATTGTAAGCAGCAAAAAGAGAGGACTCCTTGGTTTTCTGTTGGTCACTGATGTCTCTCCTGCAGAACTGAAGCAGATCACCTGGCTGAGTGTCACCGGGCTGCTGATGGTGGTCTTTGGGGAGTGTCTGAGGAAAGCAGCCATGTTTACAGCTGGTTCCAACTTCAACCACGTGGTGCAGAACGAAAAGTCAGACACTCACACTCTGGTGACAAGTGGCGTATATGCTTGGTTCCGCCACCCTTCTTATGTTGGGTGGTTTTACTGGAGTATTGGAACCCAGGTATGTTCTCCAATAGGAGGCTAACCCCTTTGAATTCAAAAAAACAAACAAATGTGTTTTTGAAATCTACTTCATATACAAGTCTTCGTTTTAAAGTGTCCGACTCAGTGGTTTTTAGGGGAGTCTCAAGGTTGTTAGTCTGTTAATTTTAACACATTTCAAGTGATAATTAAGTGTAAGTCAAGAGTTGAGAGAACAGATTCAGTCTTGAGTGTTTTTACGCCGTGCCTGATGGATGCCCTAAACTTGTAGCCTCCTGGTGACTCTAGGTGTTGTGACACCTTCTGCTCTACCCCTTCTCTGCCTCCTTAACCTAGATCTGTAGCACCCCAGAGGCTCAGGAAAGGGGTACCCACTGCCCTACCCAGTGGCAGCTGGACTGATTTTCATTAGTGTAGGTATGAATGAGGCCAAGGGCATGCACGAGGTTTGAGGTGAGCTTGTCACTTTGTCCTATCTCAGACTGCAGACTGAGCCGTTGTTTCTTGACAGTTGTCCCTTAAATCTGTACTCTTGGCCCTCAAAGGACTTGACCACAGAAGGGTAATAGACTATGGACAGTTTGTCAGCTCTTTGGAGAAATCAAGACAGAGCCCTCAGGTTTCAGCAGCAATGCACAGTCAGTTGGGACTCTCTGGTAGCCCCCAAAGGTGTGGCAGTGACAGGTTACAGCATAAGATGCATTTAAGGTTGGTTGTTTTTTTTTTTTTTGGTGACTTGCTTCCAGTTTTTAAAATTTATTTCTTGTTAGCAGAAAAGTATATTTGTTATAGAATAGAGATGCATGGCCAAGGAAGAGAAAGACTTGGATTTTTTTTGTTTTTTCTTGGTTTTGTGTGTGTGTGTGTGTGTGTGTGTGTGTTTTGATGAAAATATATTCAGTCGTACAGTATTTCAACAATTTCTACACGTACAACTCAGTGACATTGACTGCATTCTTCAAGCGGTGCAACCATGCTCACCATCCTTTTCCAAATGGTTCCACCATAAGATTTATTTTAAAACTTGTATTCCTGGAATGTGTAAAGTGCCCACAGTCATAGTCCCTGGGAACAAACTGATTTCAGCAGAGTAGTGACACTTGTCATAAATACTATACACCAAAGTGCTCAAGGACTAGAGAGTTTTCATACCTTTCCAACCACAGATCTTTTTAGATCATGATCCAGCACACACATTTATAAACAAGACAAGACTTTCACAGCAGGACACCGTGACTGCATAAAACACAGAATTTTCTGTTTCACATCACTGGTAACGTTGTTTACAATGCACTAGATGAATTCAGTGACAGGTATAGCTGGTCGGGTCCTGGCTCCAGCAGTGGGCCTCCCCTTCCTCATGTTGCAGTAGGGGTAGCAGCACTGCCCAGTGCTTTGCTGGGAGGGTTCAGTGGCTTGATGGGTGCGAGGGGCTCCTGGTGCTGAGAACACAGCAAGCTCAGACCAGCAGTGGTCAAGAGTAAGGTGGAGGGTGTGTGCCTGGCTCTGTAGGTGCCAGTGGCTTACCTGGGGACTCAGTGGGGCCAGGCAGTGGGCAGATGGGGGAGAGGGTTCCTCTAGGAGCTGGGAGATGCTTTTGGCTTTGAAGGACTGTCTGGATGTAAATCCATGGGGAAAACATTCTCAGAAGGTGGAAAAACCACATGCGTGAAGGAGGTAAGAGGCGGACAGAGTGAACGCTGGAGGAAGGAGGCGGACTGGAAGGAGGGGCCGAAGTGCTGGTTGTCAGTGCCTGGAATGCTGGCCCAAGGAGCTGGGCTTGAGGCATTTGAGCTTCCAGAGCAGGGGAGTGATCTGATGGAAGTTTTCAGGAACTCAGTTGGTAGCAGTGTATGGAGTGGAGGGGAACAGCAGGGGCCCACGTTAGGGTGTGGCGGAGGACCTGGACTGGAAGGCAGGGTGCACAGGAACAGAACTCCATGTTGAGGAATTCACACGTCCGGGGATGAAAGGGGGAGCTGCTGTCATCCTGACCTGACTGTTGAGATCCAAGAGAATGTCTTCCCTGTTAATTTTTAGAGCTGTCTCAGGTACAAGTAGCAATAGGCAAGGGTATGAAAGAAAGCTACAGGGGTGAGGGGTGAATTTGAGCTCTTAAGTAAAAGTTAGGGTTGCTTTCACTTTGCTTCGGCATAATAGTGGTAGGCGAGTGCCGTCCAGGCCCTGCCTCTTAAGACACCCCGCTAGTGTACCAGAGAGTCTCTGGGGCCCTTGGCACAGAAATCCTGTGGGTGTGGGAGAGAAACAGATGTCCTGAGGTGCCTGGTGTTGGGGCCGCTCTGCCTGACCAGCTTCGTCTCTGCTCCTCTGCCAGGTGATGCTCTGTAACCCAATCTGTGGCGTGGCATATGCCTTGACAGTGTGGCGGTTTTTCCGAGATCGAACGGAAGAGGAAGAGATCTCCCTGATTCACTTTTTTGGAGAGGAGTACCTGGAGTACAAGAAGAGGGTGCCCACGGGCCTGCCTTTCATCAAGGGAGTCAAGATGGAGCTATAACGGGAGGTGGAGGCTGGGTGAGGCTGAGGGCTCGGCTCCACGCAGCATGGGACAAGCCCGACCGCCTCCAGCCAGTCACCCTGCAGGAAGAACATTCTTAACCACTTTGTATGTTACCAGTTACTCTTCTGGAATGTCACTCAAGACCAAATGGTCAGAAGGCCTTAGGACCAAAGGACCCACCAGGCAATTCACTCTTGTGTTGAATCGAGGTCAAATGGAGACAAGAGGCCAGTGCAGCACAGACCACAGCAATACTTAGCAGCCCTTTCAGTGCCACCTGGCAGAAGGGGAGGCTGCGTCCCATTTCCCCATGAGGCAAGAGTGTGGCTACATTTGTTATCAGAGACTCCTTGGGAGAGGTGAGCCACTGTTCTCAGCAGTGCCTCTGCAGCAGAAAGCGGGCATCTGTGCTGAGTAGTGTCAGAGATACATTGAAAGCCTTTCATTTTAACAGGAAACCCCAGACAACACAGCTTTAACCTCTTTATTTCTGTCCTCAAATGCATGAACATCTGTATACTTTTAAAAATACTTCCATATACGACATGTTGGCTACTCATACATTTAATCATATTTACGTATCTATTTTTTATAATAGCAGTGCAGATTCAAAGGGGGCTCCTTTCAGGTTTATAGTTGCAACCTTTCTGTGTCAGCAGTTAAGCATAGACACCTCAGTGTGGCTTTGTGTCACATGTTGGTGACAGCTGCCACATTGACCCTGGTCCCTAGTCCAGGAAGACTCCAGACCCCTTTGGGATCTTTGTTCCTGCTCTCCTCCCAAGGGGAGACTGTTATCAGTGACGGGTGTCTCAACGATGGGTCCTTTTCCCTCTAGCCAGCAAGCGCTTGGTGAATGCCTGCGCTCTCTGCGCAGGCTGTCGGTAAGAGTTGAGGAACGCCACTCTCCATTTGGGATCTTACTCTCATTTTATCATCACTTATGTTCTTGAGTTTCACTTTAAATTTGTTAACTGTCATTTCCTACATTTTGTTCTCAAAATCCTGTGGTTCCTAATGCTGTTCTAAACTGTCTTTTCCAAAGGGGTTGAACAAATACAACTAAAATTCAAGCAAATCAACTCATGAAAATAGTCTTAAATGGAGCAAATAACCCTGCTTGAGTCAGTATTTTTACCCCCCAAGTTTGGGAGAGTGGTTGGCTTTAGGAGTGAGATGTTAAGCTTTAAGAGATAAGGACCTGATTTGATTCTGGAGTAGATTTGGAACAGGGTCTCAGTGTGAAACCCTCCCATTCAGTCCCGCAGTGGCACTGATGAAGTGTGATTGTGAAGGTGGCGTGGCCCTGTGGCCAGAGCTCAGCTCTCCCGCTACGTCACACCACAAGGCCTGCGAGGAGCCACTTAACCTTTCTGTGCCTAGATCGCCCCATCTGTAAAATGGGGTCAATACCACCTACCTCACAGGGATGTTGTGAGGATTTAGCAGAACAGTGTCAAACGTTTTTCATACTTAGATGAGAGAAATTACAGAGGTAAAATCTATACTGTATAAGTACATGAAAATGACATTAAAAAAAGGAGACATTTGGTTAACTGTACCAGACACCTAAAATGTATGTTCAAAACAGAGTTTTACAAACTCAGAATATTACTTATTTCTAGATTCTTGCTTAATTAATTTTCTTGTTATTATATATACCAAAGAGGTTTACGGGTTTGTTGATTGCTGGTGAGAGACATGCTGGTGTGAGAACTAGACACACTCAGCCCACTGCTCTCACTGTGGTCTCGTGGTTGGATTCTGGACATGGTCTTGGCAGGAGCCATCCACAGCCTGTTTCTTTGAGTGGACCCTCTCTGCTGGGACAGGAACATACATGTATTTTGGGGACTTGAATTGGTTGAATCAATTGTAAACTTGCTCTCCAAATCATGCTTAGCAAAGCAAACACCACGTACTAGGACTGCAAACTTTGCAAGCTTGGAGAGGGTGCCTTTGGGTTCCTGACAGCCACCCACCCCCAGCTCTCGCCTTTCTTACTGTGTCTAGCAAGATTGGGCCCAGCCTCCCTGCCCACTGGGGGCCGTGATGCTGTCTTCGATAGATGGTGAGCTGCTCATGACAAGCTTTATGAACACTGAGACTGAAGGTGTTGACTTTTGGTGATCTCTGCCTCCTCCATATATATGCCAGAGTCCAGAAAACCCCCTTCCTGCCAGTCCCTTGAGCTTACTCAAGCCCAGAAGGTAAGCCTTAGTGCTTCTGCCATGAGCCGCTGCTGCCATCACACCACCTGGGACTGATGTGTTCTGCTCACCTTTAAGAAGCAGTTTCATGGGCAGAAGTCAGCAATGTTGTGGCGGTAAAAGGTGAACTATTAAAAGGCAAGATTGGCAGATGATTTGAGTTTCATCCTGTGCCCACAATCTTCATGTTATTTTTAACTTCATGAATTTGGCAGTGAACAGTGCACACAGCAGAAAATCAGGTTAAGGTAACAGCTCCAGGTGTTTACTGTAAAGGTCATATCACCAGTTTCCTCAAATGAAGACACTGTCAGGAGATTTCTGTTTCATTGTGGGTTTGAAGGAAGAAATTCTAAAGTGAGAAATGCCTGTCACACGGAGCAAAGCTACTTTGGACCAGCGTAAAATGAAAGATTTTGCAAGAACTGGCAGGCTGCTGCTGAAAACGGCAGTCTACAGAAAAGAGGTGGCGAGCCTTTATCAGGGCAGCAAGCAGAAGACGGCACACCCGACCACCCTCAGTGGGATGAATGGCTTCTTAAACCTAAAAAGCAAACCTTATGAAGCCTTTTGTTTATTTAATGATCTGAGTGGTTGACATGGTAGGAGAAAATACTCCTAAACCAGGAAGTTGTTTTAACAATGTAGGCTCAATAAGGTCTTAGTCACATGCGTTTTGATAGCAGCCCCTCTGTACCAGGTACAGTAAGCCACTGTCCCTTCTCTGCACTTTCTTACTGCCTTAGCTAGTTGGGATCTCCTGCTGTAGTTTGCTTTTTGTAGTGGTTCAGCAACGTTAGGAGACCCCCGTATCTCTATTACGGTGGGAAACACTAGGAAAGGCTTGGCACCTTGTCGTGGGGTGAGACGGTTCCACCATCCTGAGTGGTCCCAAGCACTGGCTCTCAAGGGCGCCCGTCCCACAGCAAGGAAGAGTAACTCAGTGGAGTAATTATTCTACTCTTCTTTTTACATACAGAAATGTTTATTTAAATATTTTAAATTGGATTTCCTTTCACAGATACTGATTATTCTTTCCAATTCGTAAATAAAACTGTACTTGATTTCACTATGAACAACAGTGTGATTGTGTTGGGGCAGGAACATGTGGAGAAGGGATGTCCAGTACCGACAGCATAAACCAGGTATATTGTGCCGCTGAACCCAGTTCTGAATTCCTACATTTAACCAGTGGGTAACAATAAATTCCCTTTGTCCTGTAGACTATGCTGGAAGTCCGGGATGCTTTGGAATGGGATCTCCGGTGTCTCTGTGATCAGGTACAGGGGCGTTGGAGCCCCTGGATTGCACAAATAGTTATGTGCTTGACTGCTAACCCAACGGTTGGAGGTTCAGGTCCAACCAGAGGCAGTCTGGAAAAAAGACCTAGTGATCTGCTTCCCAAAAATCAGCCATTAAAAACCCTATGGAGCTCTGCTCTCCCCTAATACATGGGGTCACCATGAGTTGGAATTAACTACAGCTGGTGATGGTGTTGAGTACTGATGTGAGGCACTCTGGGGCCTCCCCAGCTCAAAAGCCATGCACTGTCTGAACCACGGAATGAAGCTGAATATTTGCTTAAAATACTACCTGGGCATCATTTTGCTTCCAAAACTTTAAATTTTAAGTCATGCAGCTTAGTTTTCTTTTTTAAGGATCGATTCGTTTTCTCTTGATAAAGGGTAGTATGTAGGAGTAGGGAATATGAAAAACTACTAGGAAAAAGGGTAGTGCTGAATGGTACTTTAATGTCAACACACGGTGAATGTAGGAGGCACAATAGCAGAGAAAGTGATGGGGACCTTTTGGGGGAAAGTAGCAGAGAAGTGATGGGGACCATCTCCTGTCGAGCACCCTTGCTTTCTGAACTCAGTCCCTCCTCTAAAGAGAGGGTTCTTTTCCCCTTTGCTGGATCAGTGCTTAGATTATTGGGTGGAACTTTCCAGTGGCACCAGGTGAATGTTGGGGCTGTGCTTCATGAAAAACTGGAACCGGGGGCCAGGCAGGTAGAGTCGTGGTTTCTGAAACCTGAGCCTGTCAAACCTGATGGGCCTAGACTAACTACTTCCACAGGCCCTGGGACATGGACACACGGTAAGTAGAAGCTGGACAGATGAATGTTCCAGAAGATGCCTTCAGTTTCCTATGGATGTTCACTCTTCTAACATTTTCCATTTGGGTTGGAAAGAGCTGTGTCCAAGTCACTGTGATTAGGGCCAAGATTTCTTGCCACGTGGACACATGAAAAAGCTAAACTTAACCAAGCCAAAGAATTTGAATTTTTGAATGGCCACAGAGTTAGTGACTTATTACCCTTTAAAGACATAACTATGATAGGAACAAAATACTTCCTAAATGCTCTGATCTTGATGTATGTGTGAATTGTAAAACATCCCATCTGCCTAGGACCAGCCCCACTGGCTAAGTCGGGTGCTCTTTCCGCATGGGGACATCGCCCCCATTCTTCTGTTTGGGTCTGTGGTGATCTTTGTGTTTCAGTGGAGGCTCTTCTGTAAGGCTGCTCAGAGGTTGGCTGCTTCCTTTGGGTTCAGAGGTCTTCTCTCTCTTTTCAGTGGCACCCACTGGATCATTCCTAAAGGAACAGTTTAACATGAACTCCTCCATTTCACTGTGTCTCAGCACTACAGTCCACATGGGCCAAGCCTTTCGGAATGGAAAGCCCTTCTGGAAGGTAGCAGTAGGTGACCACGTTTTCAAAACCAGAAATCTCATCAAGGATGAGATGCTGATCTGATTTCTGCCACGGTGCTGTTCCCCCCAGGAGATCATTTTTAGATGCCAAGCACGGACAACGTTCAGGCTGTTTTAGCAGCTCGTGACATCAAGCTTTGGATTGCCACCCTCCTGAAGCACTGAAGCTGAACAGCTGCCATGCCGGGGGTGGGGGGTGGAGCACTACCAGTTTCTGCTGTGTCCCCAGCCTTTGACTCAGGACAGTTTAGCTCCATGCCATCTAGGCTCTCACAGTTCTGACATGCTACAGTTCTATTCCCCACCCTGTGGTTAACACCCTTTACTAAGTGTGAAATACTAAAAGATGAGTCTGCTACAGCGATGGCTCAAGGTTACTGCACAGGTTTTCTTCCTCTGATGCCTTACGTCTTCTGGCAAACACTGGCTCCACTGAAAATGTTCTCACACCGAACAGCAGTCCTCAGACACTTTGTCATTTAAGTGAACGAGCTGCTATAAGTGCCTAAAAGCCAGGCAGGCACTAGTGTTTACTGCAGCATAAGTGATACAGCTGTTACTCAGAGCTGTTATAAAACGTTGGCCATTTCAACTAAGTCATATCTATCTTGTGCTTGTTTTAAGGCCCTCACGGAAGTTAAGAAGCTTTCCACTCCCTTATTTTACAAATTGAGACCCAGACAAGGTCATCGAGCTGGTCAGTGGCAAGCCAGGCCTAAAGGGGGAAACTAAAACCCTTGGTCTTTGTCCTTCATGCTTATCTCTGGAATGAAATCGTTTTGGAAGGACTGGATTTACCTGGCCTGGGTCTCACCATTCATGCCGTCCTCGTACATGTGTTGTAGATTCTCAGACTGTTCATCAACGGGCACTTGAAACCTGTGCAAAAGAAAGCCAGTTACTGGGCTCATGGAGGTGGCAAGGCCAGCCCACTGTGCATCCTTAAAGCTCACTGCACAAAAAACAAACTTAAGCAAACACTCGAGGGCCAGCCTACCACTTCATTCAGTCAAGTATTCCCTGAGGTCCCTTGATTCCCTGGGAACAGGGCTGCAGGAGTTGGCAAGAGAGGCCAGGGTCCTGCTCTCACAGCTATTTTTGGTGGAGGGAGACACATCCGATGTTGGGAAGCAGTACAGCTGGGTGAGGTGGTGGCAAGGAAGGGTGGGCGGGGGCAGCTCTGAGTGGGCTGCTTGGAGCAGGTCTCTATGCTGATACACAGAGACCTGAGTGCTGAGGACCCACATGACAACCTGGAGCCAAAGGGCCCCAAGTGGGATCCGGGGTAGCTTTCTAAGGGAAATGAAAGGCCATTGTGACTGGGTGATTAGGGCCAGCATGGTCAGAGATGGGCAGGGAATGTCTGTGAACAGACTGTTAGGCTATGGTGTGATGGGAAGGATACGTTTTTTTGTTTCTGTTTTATTGTGGCAAAATTATACACCACAAAACATACACCAATTCAACAATTTCTACGTGTATAACCCAGAGACACTGATTAGTCTTCACGTTGTATAACTATTCTTGCTATCCTTTCTCAGGTCATTCCACCAGCATTAACATAAACTCAGTGCCCCCTAAACAAAAACTCCCCCTTTGTGTCCTCTCCCACCCTTGGTTCCTCAGTGCCTTACTGCCGTCGTGTTGATTTCAACTCAAAGCAACACCCCCTTGGGTTTCTGAGGCGGTATCTCTACAGAAGTAGATTGCCCACTCTTCCTTCTGAGGATTGGCTGGTGGGTTTGAACCGCCATCCTTCTAGTTAGCAGTCAAATGTTTAGGCACTATGCCACCAGAGCTCCCAGTGATAATCTTTGGTTTCTACATATTTGTATATCTCGTATAAGTGAGATCATACAGTATTTGTCTTTTTGTGACTGACTGATTTGCCTCACTGTGTTTTCAAGGTTCATCCATGTTGTGGCGTGAGGAAGCATAAGGTCTTACATGGTCACTGGCTGTGTGATGTACTGGAGGGGGCCAGGAGGGCAGACGATGGTGGCTTGGAGTTGGGAGCAGCAGTGGAGACCAAGCTGGGTAGACTGAGATGGAGTAGAGTCTACAGGGCTTTGGGATGGATTGGAAATGGGGGTGGGGAAAAAAGGAATCCAGGATGTCTCCCAGGATTTATACTGGAGCACCTGGATGAATGGCAGTGGGGATGAATGGGGGTGCTGTTTACTTAGACGAGGGAGGTGGGAGCAGCGTGTTTTGGGGCAGGAAATCAAGAGTTCCTTCTCGCCACTGGAACTTGAGGTGCCTGTTAGACTTGACACTGGGAGGCAGCTGGCAATGAATCCTGGAGTTCTGAGGAGTACTGTGCTGGAGACTGGGACATGTGTCCTCTGCATGTCACTGGGCCTTTGAAGCCAGGGGATCCGATGAAGTCACTTGAGAGGATGGGAAGGAAGCCTTGGACTGAGCTCCAGGACAAACTTACTTGGACATGAAGTGAGGAGGCAGAGCCAGCCAGAGACTAAGGAGGAAAACTGGCTGAAGAGGTAGGAGAGAAGCAGGGTGTGGGGCATCTCAGAAGCCACTGAAGAGTGCTGGAGAATAAGGACACGCTGGACCCTGCTGCTGGGAGCATATGAGGCAACTGGGGCTTGGTTGGGTGGTGGCTGATGGTCAGAACAAGAGCAGCTTCAGGAGATGGTGGGTCACAGGCTAGCGTCAGATAGGGCTGAGGCGGAAATGGAGGTGAGGAAGCAGGGGCGGCAACTACAGACAACTGGAAAGCAGAGCTATGCAGAGGAACAGTATTCCCTGTTTCCTAGCCCTAGACCACTTCCCTTCTGTCATCTCCCAGCAGAGACTGTGCGGCTGCCAGTGCTGCCTCTTGCTGGCAGGCAGGATCACGCTACTTAGCTTCTCACTGAGGCAGCTCACACGGACAGAAAAGTGCTCCAAGCTCAGAAGCTGAAAGCACACAGATGAGTGGTAACTGAGTCAGCAGACCCTGAGAAACTGGGTGTCAACCTGGCAGCGGGTCAAGCTGAGGATGACCTAGTTCACACCATAGAATCCCTAGAAGCTCAGGAGCTGCCAGCACTGTGGTCATGGAAGCAGGGAGGGTGAAAGTCAAGACCCCTCTACCTCTGAGCAAATGCCTCCCCCCTAACACCCCCCAGCAGAAGTCTGAGGGGTTAGTCTCTGGAGAGAGTAAAACACAAAGTTGAGAACTGTACTAAACACCAGAAAATTAAGTATGCATACAAATATTCCATACAATAACCTCCAGAAAAGAAACTGGAAAAGGACCTAAAACTGACATTAAGCTTTAAAAAAACAAAATAACAACCAAAAAACTCATTCACCCAGATCCCCCTACAATAAAGAACTATCCATGTTGTTCTGATTACCTAGTGCTACTCTGACAAGAAATATACCACAAATGGGATGGCCTTAACAAACAGGAGTTTATTCTTACAGTTTGGAGGCTTTAAGTGCAAGTTCAAAGTGCCAAGCTCTAGAGGCTGGGTGAAAGCCCCTCAACCTTGGGGTCCAGCTCTGCCTCCTGCTCCCGGCCCACTGGAGCTAGAGGTGTTTCTTCACTCAGACAGCTGCTGGCTGCTGAAGATGAGAAACCCCAAGGTTGGCAAGTAAAAAGGCACAGTCCTGATGTTACCAAACCACATGGCAGGCCAGTCATTCGAGTCCATTGTAAGTCCCAAGGTCGGCAGAGCATGGCAAGCTGCTGAGCAATGACACGGCTATATGCAGGGTCCAAGTGTGCCATAGGCTAGAGACCATTTCCAAGGCTTTTCCTTATATACAGGAAGCAGACCACATCCCAAAGGCAGCTACTCGGCTTCTTGTGGTAGATCCCACCATGGAATTGATTGCCAGTCTCATCATGGGGAATAACTACCATCAGCTGCCCAGCCACTCAACCAGGCCCAGCCAAGTTGACACACATCTGAACTACCACACTTGTGCTCAAAACTTCCAGTCCACTTTTTTGCTCTTACTCTCCATACCCTCACTTGAGCAGACAACCTAGGACTGCCTGACATCTGAGAGGAGTCTCTAATATGGAAGATTGGAACCTAAACAAACAAAAGTTACTTGGAGAAAACAGACTGTGATGGCATAGTGCCTAAGGCATTTGACTGCTAGCTAGAAGGCTGGCGGTCCAAACCCACCAACCATTCCTCAGAAGGAAGCTTGTGCAATCTTCCATAGTGATACTGCCTTGGAAACCAAGGAGAGGTCGCTATGAGTCAGATCTGACTCGACGGCAGTGAGTTTGGTTTTGGTTTTAAACCCAAACCATGCCCATTGCCATCAAGTAGATTCCAACTCATACAACTCTGTAAGGTCAGAGTAGAACAGCCCCCATTGGGTTTCCAATGCTGGACTCTTTATGGAAGCAGAATTCCACATCTTTCTTCTTTGGACCTACTAGTAGATTCAAATCGTTAACCAATCGTTCAAACCATTAGCAGTGAAGCACTTAACTACTGTGCCACCAGGGCTCCATTGAGAAAAGAACAGTGTGTACAAAAAGAGAAGTAAAACAATTATTAAAATAATATAGTAGTAGTGAACAAAAGGGGTTGGCAGATAAAGTGAGGAAATCTCCCAGAAGGTACAGCAAAAAAGACAGATGGACAATCAGACAGGAAAGAATGTTAACTGGATGGCCATCCCAGGAGGGCCAATATTCAATAGTAGAAATTCCAGAAATAGAAAATGTGAAGAAACTAATAATTAAAACAAACAAAGAAAAAAACTGAAGGACATGTTTACAGGTAAAGGACCCACCAGTGTTCAACACAATGAGTGGAAATAGACCCTCATCAATGTGAAATTTCCAAACACTGGAAGCAAAGAGAAGATACCAGATGCATCCAAAGAGAATAAGTAGGCCACATTATAAAGATTAGGAATCAGAATGCCTTCAGACTTCTCAGTGACTGCCTTGGAAGCTAGAAAACAATACAGCAATGCCTTCAAAAGTCTGTAGGATTTTATTCTTAGTGAAACTATCAGTCAGTTGTGAAGGTAAAATAAATATATTTCCAGACTTACACTGTCCAAAAACAATGGACCTCCTGTGCATCCTTTCTTAAGATGCTACCGGGAGATGGGTTCCACCAAAAGATGAAAGAGGAAACAGGAGATCTCACACAGGAACAAGGCAAGGGGAACTCCCTGGAAGAAGGGAGGTGATCCCAGACTCACAACGCAGTCCATCCTGGAGCCAAGTGACTCCAGAGACAAACATGTTGAAGACAGCACTAAGATACCCTCTGTCATAGTGAGACCTTTTGATGCTTGAGTATAGTGTTGGGAGAGCCTGGTCCAGATTCATGTCTAGATTTACTTATCTTGTTATGGGTTGCCATTGAGTTGCTCTAACTCACAGCGACCTTAGGTGCAATGTGCCATCTCCATAATCTTTGACATGTTTGAGCCCATTATTTAGGCTATCGTATCAACTCATCTCCCTGAAGGTTTTCCTCCTTTTCATTGATAACTCTATTTCACCAACACAGTGTTCTTCTCTTCTCTACCGGTTGGTCTTTCCTGATAATGTGTCTAAAGTAAGCAAGACAAAGTGTCGCCATTCTCATTTCTAAGGAGCATTCTGGCTGTATTTCTTCTAAGACTTATCTTGATCATGTGCTGATGAAGTCCCTGATCCCCCTTCTGTGTCCTGCTGCCTGCATCATCTGAGGACTGTCACTCTATCCCAAGAAATATCTTCTGTTTTGACCTACTTCTGAGGGCTGGAGATAGGCTGTAGTGTGCCTGGAAGGAGAATTTCATTCTGACCATGTTTTTGGCAGATGTCCAGCACCTCATCTTCCCAGATGCCTGGAGTAAGCCCTGACTCCCCTGAAATGAGTTCTTCTGAATGTGTGACACCTTTCATGAATATACATTTTGAAATGTCTCAGCTCCCCTGGGAACAACCCCTTGTCTCACCTGGGCTCCAGCCGCTCCTTCACCTTGGCAATGGAACGGACATAGGGAGTGATCTGCTTGGTGATAGTGGTCAGGTAGGCATTCTCCTGCTTCAGCTGGAGAAGGTCATGGAGCTGGGCTGTGGGGGCCCAGAGAGTTAGTTAGGTCATGATGACTTCAGATTCTTAGAATCAAGCCCGGTACCACCCAAACATCCCAGCTGGTTCAGTAATTACCTATTAAAGAGCAAGGCACTTGGTGAGGGCATTGTATTCACTAAGTCCTGACCTCAGATGCATCACTTTGGGGATGTGAGGCAAGGTCAGGGACCAAAAGGCAATAACACGGAGACTCCTATTGGTTAGTGGCTCACTCTGACTTCCTAACCCTGATTACGTGTGGGTTAGCTTGGGGATATGAGGTTCACTCTGTAGCCTGGGAACCTTCATAAATCTCTTGCTCATTAGCCACGCGCTGGTAGGACTCCTCCCAAATCTGAAAGAGAAGGTAAGCTGGATATTGGACAGGGCATTGAGTTGGAATTTTCATTGGTGGCTTTTCTATTCTGTAGCTACACAGAGTCACATGGCACTCCCAAGCCAGACCCACATGCTTCCAGGCAGCAAAGACTCCCAGGTTCCCAAACCTGCCACATAGCATGAGATCCTCAAGGAGGCACCAAGCCAAGGTCCTCCTCCCGCTTCCTGTGGTGAGATCACCCATGTCTATCCTGACATTGGGGGGACTGGTAGGAAGTCATAGCACAATTGGATTAGGTTCCTCAGGAGAGCTACCTCCTCAAAAACTGTTCTCATGGCTTCCACAGAGGCGCACTGCAAGGAGATCTGCGTGTCCACCTGCAGGGACTTGTGGAGGATGTCCGCCATGATCTCAGCCTTGATGAGTGAGTGGTGCTTGGTGAGATCCCGGTGCAACTCCTGGACCTGGTCCTTCAGGTTCTGGATCTCTGACTGCAGACTCTGCACGCAGAAGCCACAGGAGAGCGCGTGGTCACTGCAGGCTGGCTGTTCATTGCCAAGGCCTCAGGGGAGGGGTGGTTTCCAGAGTGGGCGTCAGCTCTAAATCTGACCATTGTTTGCAGCATCACCGCACCTCGGTGAAGGAGGACTGGGGCTTTTTCTACACTCCAGCATCGCTCTCCTCACCCTGTAAAAATCCACTGCCATCGAGTTGTATCTGACCCATAGCAACCCCTCCTTGGATTTCCAAGGCGGTAGCATAGTGGCTAAAGCACTTGACTGCTAACCAGAAGGCTGGTGGTTCAAACCCACCAGCCACTCCTCGGAAGGAAGGTTGGGCAATCCTACTTCTGTAGTGATACTGCCTCAGAAACCCAAGGAGGGGTCGCTATGAGTCGGGGCCGACTCGACGGCACATAACAACAACAACAACATCACCACCGAAGTAGATTGCCCAACCTTCCTTCCGAGGAGTGGTTGGTAGGTTTGAAAGGCCAGCCTTCTGGTTAGTAGTCAAATACCTCAGGCACTATGCTTCCAGAGCTTCTCCTCACCTTGTAGGAGTCCTCATAGTGGCGGCAGTGCTCTGTGAAGGGCGTGGCCTCCCCCTCAGCCAGGAGCACCTTGGTGCTGATGGACCGGTGCAGTGAAGGCTTTTGGACAGGCGACCCGAACGTCTTTCCCCCTGGGGAGGGGCAGCCAGGCCCCATCAGCACCTTGGGGCCTGAGGCCCCTGCCAACCTGGGGAGAGACCCAGTGTGGAGGCAGATATGGGGGGCTGGGGCCTTTGCTTGGATAGAGATCAGCCTGCCTGCCCCAAGCGAGCCCCTGGACTTTTCAGTGCTGTAGCACCTCCTTCACAGCCCCAGACTGTAAGTTAGAGCCATCAGGGAGCTCTGAAAACCCCTGGTGTCAAAGCCACACCCAAAACCAATTCTATAAGGTATTTTCTATAGGTATTTTCTAAAAGGTGTGAATCCAGCAGGGTGCCACAGTGCTGGTCTGGAGTCATTCTTGCGCTCCCTGACTCACTCATATGCTAGGTTTTGGAAATGTGGCCCCACAGCCAGTTTACCCTGCCAATGCTATTTAGGCATTTCTTCTTCCTCTTCTGACTCTGACCTGGCCCCACTCCCCACACTTCAGGCTACCCAGGCTACGTCCAGCCCTGGCCCCACCTTCAAGCTCTCACTTCCCTCAGGCCCTAGGAGCCACAGCCCGGGTAGAGGAGGCTGCAGAGGCGGTTGTGAACGGCCCCTGCGTTCTCTGAGCTTTGCGTCGGGTCTGCCGCGGGCTTCAGTGCGGGGATTCCCGACAGCTGCTTCAGGTTCAGCAGACTCGACCTCACGCCTATTGGCCCTTGGAGCCCAGACACCGCGAGGGAAGCACTGGATGGGGTAGGGGGATGGCCGCGTACTTTCTGGAGGCGCTTTGCCTACAGGCGCTTTGCCCACAGCTTTCCACACGGCATGCGTCTTTCTCCCGGCCACACCCTCCGCCCTGGTCCCGGGATGGAAGGGGGCTCATGCTCACGTGCCGGCGCCACCACCCGTGCCTGCCGCCCGGCGCGGCCCCAGCAGCAGCAGAGGCTCCAGACAGCGTGCGAACTCGGCGCGGTAGTCGCTGGCAATCTGAGCGGCAGGACCTGGCGTCAGGAGGCCACGCCCAGCCCGCTGGACCTCAATCCTGGCCCCATCCCTGCCGCCCATGCACCTTGCTGCTCAGCGCTGGTCTCAAACGATGCGGCCGCGTGACGATGCCCTGCAGCCTGGCCATCAGCTCCTGCAGCAGCGTGAGTGGAGCTCAGGCCGGTGGGCGTAGGGACTCCCAGGAGGCTCCGAGGGCAAATCTGTCTGTGACACTTTACCTAGTGCCCTTTGAGGCTCCGCTTCTCCCCTGGGACTGGCCCGACCTCTACCCTAGTGAATCCCCAGGAAAGGGGAGATGCCAGACTCTACTACACAGTCTGCATTTCAGGTGAGGAGGCTTACACCCTTGCCAAGGTTCTTTATCTTAAAAGCACTGGGCCCCTAAACGCACATAAACCCAGAGGCCCCTGGTTCAGCCTCTCCCTGTGACAGGCTACCAAGCCCTGAGGTGGCAGCAGGGGGGGACAGGAGGGGTTCTGGGGAGACCCCACAAGAGCTGAGAAGACTCACATAGCCCAGGTCCAGGAACTCGGCCTTGTTGGCCAAGCTGAGGAAGGAGGAGCAGATGACCAGGTGAACCTGCCGGAGGCCTGGTGCTCAGTGCCTGGCCCGGGAAGCAGGCCCACACCCTCCAGTTGTGCCCTCTTACCTGTAGGGTGGGCAGCAGGGTGGCCAAGTGAGTGAGCTGCTCCTTGAAGGCCTGGTCCTTTTCTTCATACTGGCTGAGGGAGGGGCAGGCGGTCTTATCCCCAAGGGCAGGGCTGGGCAACCCCACCCAGCAGGGCCTCCAAACTGGCCAGTGCCACCCCCCACAGCCAGAGGTGGGTTCTGGACAACTTTGTGAATCCTCCCTGTCACCCTTCCATCATGTTTAGCCTCCCGGCCCTCCTTAGGGGAGTGAACACACAATGTCTTCTTTCTCCCCAGGGACAGGCACCAGGGTGTGAGGGAGCTACAGAGGCCAAGGGACAGGGAGGTGGAGACCCACCACCACTCACCTCTGCACAGCCTGCAGCAGTAGCGCTTTCCTCTCAGCTAGTTTGTCCTGGGAGAGACAGGCCGTTGCTGACAGGCACAGTGCCTGCCACCTCCCACCAGTGCCCCACCCACCTAGGCACCAGCCAGAGGCCCATTTTCTCCTCAAGCTCCAGCCCTGCTAGGTGGGTCAGAGGCCTGCCTTCCTGCACTCCTGTGTCTGACAGCTCCCTACCCTCACTATCAAACTCCTTGATCAGCAAAGCCTTCCCTGACCACCCCGCCCCCACCCGTGCCCCATCAGCACCAGACCAAGGCCCAGGTGGCTTCCCCTGGAATACATGTGGCAACTCTAATTAAGTAACTTCTTCTGAAAAGTTCTGTGCCTGCCACTCCGCATAACTACCAAATCCCGAGGGCCCCACAGTCTGCCCTGCTTTGGGCCTGGGCACCCATCAAGCCTGGCTTCGACTCACAGTCTGTGGTTGCCTCCTCTCCAACCTCACCTGCATGCTTCCAAAGAGGGCATGGATGGCCGCTTCCTCCTCGGCCGCACTGCGCCGCACCTCCTCCACCATGGCCTGCAGCAGTGTGATGGCTTCCCGCGTGGCCGTCTGCAGCGCCTTCACAGCCTGGGGACAGGGTAGCTTCAGCCTGGCCGTCAAGTTCTCACACAGCCCCAGCCCACCTGAGCCCTGAGCTCACCAGCACCGCCTGCTCCAGCCGCTCGCAGCCCTGCACGTAGGCCGACTCCAGGTCTACGCAGTGGGCTCGGCCCTCCCTGCAGGGAGGCTGCGAGTGAGCCTGGCTCGTGGCGTCCTCCAGCCCGCTCCCTTCGCTCCCCTTGTACCCACCCCTGCATGTCCCGGAAGCAGCGGATGCACAGCAGCGACTTCTTGTCAGTGGAGAACATGATGTAGGGCTCGGCGTGTAGCGCTGCGGCGGGGACGACGGTCACTGGCTCCAGGCAGGGCCGGCCCCACCCCTACCTTCGTCCCCATTCCCAGCCCTTGGACCCCGGCGGGGCCGCAGCACTCACGGCACTTCGGGAGCACGTCGCGGCTGCGTTGGCCCAGGGCCACAATGTCGTGCTGCGCAAACATGCGTGCGCGGTGCGTCTCGTCGCGACAGCGCGCACACAGCGGCTGCCCGCACGTGTTGCAGAAGTACGTGGTCTCGGCGTCCTGCGGACAGAGCGCGGGCTCAGCGGGCAGGCGGGATGCAGTGCTGAGGCCCGACTGCTGTACCGTGGTAGATGTTGCTGCCGCGGCTCATTTCGCAACACTAAACGCAGCCGTTTTGTGTAATTCCGACGCGCTGTGCTCTACCATACCCACTTTATAGATGAGAGCGCTGAGGCTTCTCACGTTAGTACGTCCAGTAAAGGACCAAACCACACACACACACACACACACACACACAAACCCCACCAAACCCACTGCCTTTAAGTCGATTCCGACTCATAGCGACCCCCAATTGGTTTCCAAAGCAGTAAATCTTTCCAGAAGTAGATTGCCCAGTCTTCCTTCCGCGGAGTGGCTGGTGAATTTGAACCATCAACTTTCTGGTTAGCAGTCAGATGCCTTAAGCACTACCTGGAAAGGACTTGGGGAAGAGTTTCAGGGGGAAGAAGGGAGCAGAAATTGCATTTGCAAAACATTTCACCTATAACAAATGTGTGTATAGGGTTCTCAAGCTCCTTTGGCGCCCTTGCCCTCAACAGTAGCCAAACTGGAGTCACACCTCCACTGGGAGGGAGAAGGGGAGTGAGGGTCTAGGGGTGTCTTTTCCCAGGTCAAACCCCGGGTTGAAAGTCCTGGCCTGGGCTGAGGCCTAGCATTGACCCCAACAGTGGTTCTGAGATCATATCCCAACTCCTTACTTGACATTCAAGGCTATTTCCCTCCCACTCTCTCCTCACTTCTACCCTCTCTGATCATCTATGGTACTCCCAGGCCACATGTTTCTCAGCAACTGATCTGCACACTCTAGCTTTTCTTCTGCAGGCCGGTCCTTCTGGAATACTTTTCTGTACCTTCACAGGGCAGAACCCCACCTGCCCTTCACAGGCCAGCCTGAAGCCTAGCCTCCGGTTCTTTGGTCTTTCCTAGGCTCAGGGCCAGGGACATCCCTCCCCAACAGCTCACTGTCCTCACTTCCCCTCAAGGCTTTAGGTAGCTGTGTACATCTTCAAAGATACCAGGAGTCCCCCAAATGACTGGCCTAGACCCTTCCTGAGTCAGCTCACATCACCCAAATTTTGGGATCAGTGAGCTCACCCCAAATCCAACAGCCTTAAGCCCTGTCACTGTCTGGCTATTGACTGAAGTCACTTGCTCTGCCCCTCAATTTCCCATGTGTGTAATGGTAATGGGGCCCACATGTGGAGGCCAGGGGCCCTAGGGAAGTATTGGAGAACCTGCTTTGTGAGTAGTCCTCTGAGGACTTGGTGGTGCACTGCAAGCATCTGGGACTGTGCTACCTGGCGACCTGGCACAACGGTGCCCTGCCACCCCACCCGCTGCCCCTGCCTGCTTGCTGCACTCCAAGTCGCAGTTAGCGCAATGCACGGCCTCGGCACCATCCGCTGAGCTGTCCACCAGGAACTGCAGCAGTCGATCCACCGGCGGGAGCCCGCTGGGGCCCTTCACCACTGTCTGGTGCCTACAGAGAGCATGGAGCCAGGATCGGGGAGCCCTTTTCCCGGTATCCCCACCCCTAATCCTTACATTCCAGACTGGAGCTAAAAATAGTGGCGGGAGGTGGGGGCCCTGCAGCGCCTGGCTTCTGCTATAAATATCTCTGCGCAGCACCGCGCTCGTCTCAACCCAGTCCCTACCCCCGCCCCCCAGTCCCAAGTAAATCTCGCCAGGTGGTGGGGTTGGCGACCACCCATGTCACAGGCAGAAATCGCCTCTCAACACCATCTTACTGCACTGGGCAAATTTATGGTCAGTCTATGGTCACGTGGCCCTGGTCGGTTTTGTTAACCTAAGAGTTGTGGAATTCACAAGTTAGGGTCGTGACGCTGTGCTAAGACCCCGTGCTCTTGCAGCGCGGGGTCAGGACACCGCATTAGTAAACCCCCCCCCAGCCACACACACACACACACACACACACACTTCCTTTAGATTTTCTGTGGAGACCAGCGTGGCTCTTTTCAGTCCTCAGTTAACCGCGACCGTAAAATGGCAGAAGCTTGAGTTCCAGCGCCAAGAGCTACGGGCTGGCCAGTCTCTGCCCCGCCCCCGTCCCTGCCCCTACTCCTAGTCTCTTTTGCCCTCCTTACACCTGGGCCCTGTCCAGGCGGAGACAACCTCGGCCACCGGCAGTGGTTTTATTGGTGTTTTGGGCACTCACTGGCACAGCGGGCAGGCGAGGCGGCAGTCGACGGCGCGGCCTCGAAGGCAGCCGGTGCAAAAGTCGTGGAAGCAGTCTAGCAGGCACGGGCGCTCGTACTGCGCGTGGCACAGAGGGCACACGAGCGGGTGGCCGCTCGCAGCGTCCAGGGCATCCGGGCCCTCCAGGGGCGCGAAGAGAGCTCCCGACATCTGCAGCGATGGCTCAGGACTGCACTGAGGACGCGCACAGAGTGAGGGCGCGTCTGCGGAGCTCCTCCGCCCCAGCGCCGGCTCCCACCTACCTGCTCCGCCTGGGTCCGCTGCGTCCGCTCTGCCCGGAGAGGACCTGACCGGGCTATCGCACTGGGGCCAGGTTGGAGCCTGGAGCGCCCAGCACCGGGAGAGTGGCAGGGTGACACGGAGAGGGGCCGGGTCCTGTGTTCCCCAGTAAAGGCCTGTGAACCGGCCGTTTGCGGGGAGCTGATGTCCCCGGGGACGGCTCTGCGGAGGAGTCAACCGACCCTGAAAAGTCAGGGCTCTGGGACAGGAAGAGGCCTGCTGGCCGGTAGCCTTGCGAACACGGGTCCTTCTCCTTGCGCTCCTCTTTCCCCGTTCTCTTCTTCCCCACCGCCTTTACTCTCTACCCCAGGAATTCCCTGCCCACTGTCCTCTGGGTGACCCGCAGGCAACGCCCCTGAGCGCTGGGCAGCTGCGTCACGCGGGCGCGGTGCTCGCGCCCCCCGACCCTACCCTAGTGGCTCAGTGTCATGGGAAGCGCGCTGGACCGCCAAGGCCACAGCATCCTCGCCCCGGACGAAGGAAGGAGGGAGCGCTGTGGTCGGTGTTGGAGAGAGGGGCTAAAGCTCGGCTGGACCCCACCGGGGAAGGCAGAGATCAGCCCGGAGCTGCAAGAGCGGCGTGTAGTGCTGGGTCCTCGATGGCCCATTGGGGGCGCCAGAGAGCAGCCAAGGTCCAGGGCCGACCCCAGTGCTTGGGAGTAATTGTGAGAGGCGCTGGGAGCTCAGGTGTCATAGTGTCTAAGGCATCTGACTGCTAACCAGAAGTCTGGCGGTTCGAACCCACCAGCCACTCCTCAGAAGGAAGGTTGGGCAATCTACTTCCGTAGTGATACCGCCTCAGAAACCCAAGGAGGAGTCGCTGTGAGTCTGATCTGACTCCATGGCAATGTCTTGCCTTGTTTGTTGCCTGAAGCCCTGCTCTTCCTTTGGCTGGTTGTGGGCTTTTGGCTAAGTTATGAATCCTCTCAGAGCCTTGGAGCTGAGGTGAAATGGCGTCTGCCCCCCAATATCGCGATGAGACGTCAAAGGACTATGCATGCGCAATGCCGTCATACACCAAACCAAAACCAAAACAAAACAAAAAAACACTTCACCACCAAACCTGTTGCCTTTGAGTAGATTCCAACTCATAGGAACCTAAATGACAGAGTAGAACTTCCTCACAGGGTTTCCCAGAATGTAATCTTTAGGGAGAAGCTCAGGTGATGTAGTTAGTGGTTAAGGCATTTGGCTGCTCACCAAAAAGTCAGTGGTTGGAACCGCGGAAAAAAAAGATGAGTCGGTCTGCTTTGATCAAGAATTACAGCTTTGGAAACCCAATCTGGGTGGCTATGAGTGGGAAATGACTCGATGGCATCGTGTTGGTTTGGTTTGGAATCTTAACAGGAGCCCATGGCTGAGTCTTTTCTCCCATGGAAGGACTGGACGGGTTCAGACTTTTCACTTATCCCTCTAGTGCTTAACCATCATGCCACCAGGACGTCTTTCAGGCACATACTAGGCTCCCAAATAATTAAACTCCCACACCCAGCTCCAGCCCTTCCAGGAGGGCCCCCTTCTGCTGATCTTTCCTGGTGAATGATTGTTTATCTCAGTGTGGTTTTTCTCCATAGAGCCTTCCTTCCCTGTTCCTACCTGCATTAAAGCGTTTTGTTTTTTTTTTTTAAACAAACAAATAAAACCATTGGATCAATGTTATTAGCTTTCTTCCGTGTGTACTGCTTATGTTATGCTGAGTTCTGTGAATACAGTCCCTGTCTCTGCCCCTCTAGTAATTACAGTCAAGTCAAGAAGCCCATCGCCTCAGTCAATTTCGACTCACAGCAACAGTGTGGGACAGAGTAGAACTGCTGCATAGGGTTTCCAAGACTGTGAACCTTTATGGAAGCAGACTGACACATCTTTCTCCAGCAGAGCAGCTGGTAGGTTCAAACCACCAACCTTTTGGCTAGCAGCTGAGCCCTTTAACCACTGCACTCAATAAATAAAGGCTGGAATATGGGACAATCTACTTCGGTAAAGATTTACAGCCTCAGAAACCCAATGGGGGTCACTATTAGTCGGAATCCACTACTTGTCTGTCAGTTTGTCATACTGTGGTGGCTTGCACGTTGCTGTGAGGCTGGAGGCTATGCCACTGGTATTTCAAATACCAGCAGGGTCAGGTCACCCATGGGGCACAGGTTTCAGTGGAGCTTCCAGACTGAGACAGATTGGGAAGAGGGAAGGGGTCATGCACTTCTCAAAGAAATGGCCTGTGGAAACCTTATGAATAGCAGTGAATTGTCTGATATATTACTGGAAAACTCTATGAATAGCCCTGAAACATATAGTGCTGGAAGATGAGTCCCTCAAATCAGAAGGCACTAAAAATACGACTAAGGAAGAGCTACCTCCTGAGAGCAGAATCAACCTTAATGATTTGGCTGGAGTAAAGCTCTTGGGACCTCCATTTGCGATGTGGCACAACTCAAAATGGGAAGAAACAGCTGCAAACATCCATTAATAATTGGAACATGGAATGTATGAAGTATGAATCTAGGAAAATTGGAAGTTGTCAAAAATGAAATGGAACACATAAAGATTGATATCCTACACATTAGTGAGCTAAAATGGACTGTTTTGGGCCATTTTGAATCACACAACCATATGCTCTACTATGCTGGGAATGACACATTGAAGAGGAATGGCATGACATTCATTGTCACAAAGAATTTTTCAAGATCTATCCTGAAGTACATACAATGCTGTCACTGATAGGATAATATCCATATGCCTACAAGGAAGACCAGTTAATAAGACTGTTATTCAAATTTACACACCAACCACCAAAGCCAAAGATGAGGAAATTGAAGATTTTTACCAACATCTGCATTCTGAAATCGACCAAACATGCAATCAAGATCTGTTGATTATCTGTATGTGAGCTGCTATAGGGAATCTGGTGATTGAAATGCAAAAGTTGGAAAGAAAGAAGAATCACCAGTAGTTGGAAAATATGGCCTTGGTGAGAAAAATGATGCTGGAGATTGCATGATGGAATTTTGCAAGACCAACGACTTATTCATTGCAAATACCTTTTTTCAACAACATAAATGGCAGCTACGCACGTTGATTTCACCAGATGGTGTGCACACGAATCAGATCAACCACATCTGTGGAAAGAGGAGATGGAGAAGCTCAAGATGCCTGAAAGAAGCCATAAGGAATCCCTTTCCGTTACAGACAACACATCCAACACAGGCTGATTCCTCTTTGGTGAGTGACATTCTGTTTTCCTTTACGGATTTCTGATTTGCCATTCACTCTGGCTTTCGCCTCCCGTCTTCTGCCCCCCGCTGAACCTATTCTGTCTCAGGGCTGCCTGAACAGAAGTTTGGTTCCATGCTCTCCTCAGTGTTAACTCAAAAGACAGGGACTCCTTTCCTTTGATCCTAACATCTCCAGAACTCAGATTGTCACTTACCCATTATGGGGAATAATCTCCCAGTGGCCAGAAAATAACACTTTTGATTTTTTTTTTTTTATTCTTTCAT